GAAGCCGTGGAGCGCTCTAGACGTCTCTCCCTCAGTCGGTTGTCTAGTCGAATGGCTTGATCAATTAGAATCTCGAGATTTTGGGCAGGTTCCCTAGTAGCCAAGTCATCTTGAATAATCTCGGATAACCCATTTCGAAAACAGACCATAAGAGCTTCCTCGTTCCAGCCGCTCCCTGCTGCCACTGTACGAAATTGTATGGCATATTCTGCCACACTTCCAGTCTCCTGCCGAAGTATGAGGAGTCTTTTAGAGGCTTGTCGGCCACTGAGAGGGTGGTCAAAGACTCGCTTAAACTCCTGTTCAAAAGCAGTGTAACTTGAACAGAAGGGGGCTTTGGCCTTCCAAACTGCGGTAGCCCAGGAGAGAGCCTTACCGGATAACAGAGTGATCACATATGCGATTCGTGCCCGATCTGATGGGAAGGATGATGGCTGCAATTCCAAGGTAAGAGAGCACTGGGTTAGAAAACCATCACATGCATTGGGATCACCTGAAAAATGTTGTGGTGGCGGTAGGCGAGGTTCCATCATAGGAGAGGGTACTCGAGATTCTGACAAGGGTACTGAGGTGGCGGTGGATGCCGGATTAGAACAGGTAGGTAATCTGTCAAAAAGTTGACGAACAGTAGTCATAAGTTCAGAGAGTACCTGTGAATGTTTGGCCATCAAAGCCTCTTGCTGAACTAGGACATTCTCATGTCGTTGAACTGTAGACTCGTGCTGAGCCACTGTGGTAAGGAGCTCCTGGGAACTGGGGTTTTCGGGGTTCATGATGTTGGCTCGGTTATTCTGTCAGAGACTGGGATAGAACCCGGGTCTCCTGCACGAGATGTTGGCCTTGAACCCACTGAGCCACACAGGCGTTGAAGAACCAAAGTCACAAAAAGGAACTTTCTCCTTAAGAGGAATTTATTAGTGGCAAAAAAAACACTTCAATAGAAGATAAAGATAGAGCAGACAAAAAACAGAGACTTCTCCAATTTCAAAAAATGCAAAAAACTCAAGAGGCAAAAAACTCAGGATCAGTAACTGCTCAAAATTACTACAAAAAACATAAGTCACAAAAAGCTTGACAAAAGGTAATTTTTCAAATAGAGGAACTCACAGAGGATGACTGGCTAGGATCCACAATAACCGAGCAAAGAACTACTAAACTGAGGCTACTTAAATACAAACAGCTAAACAAGGAACATGTGAAATCAATAGCTGTGATTACAAATACAAAATAAAGACAAAGAACGAAATGAGGTCATCTAGTGGTGAAGAAAAAACATTACAAGAAAAAACTAAAATAACATGGGCAAAATCCTGACAGTTTTTCCTTGCCAGACTTCATTCAAGGTAAGTAATTTTATAGTGTCACTTAAAAGTGTTCCAAATGATTACTTTTATTAATGTTAATATTAATATCAACTGCATCAAACAAATTAGCCTATTAGAATGATTTCTGAAGGATCATCTGACACTAAAGTAATGATGCTAACAAATCAGCTTTGACCTCACATTAATAAAATATATGGTCACATTTTATTTTGATGGTCTGTTTGTTGAATTTAAGCTGCATTGCATCTACATGTCATCTAATTCTCATTAGATTATAAGTAGACTGTTAGGGTTGTGGTTAGGGTTGGTGTAAGTTGACATGTACTTGGTAAATTAAGGGTTAGGGTTAGGGTCAGTTAATGTCTGTTGAAGGAGCAGAATCAACAGATATTAAGCAGACAGTCTATTAATACTTAAATGGACCATTTACAATGTATTGAAATTAAAAATCATTATTTTAAACTGTAAAAATATTTCAGTGTTACTTTTAAACTGTAAATTAATGTTATCGATCAAATCAATGCAGTCTTGATGTCCAATAAAAAGACAATAAAAAATACAAACATTAATGTCAATAATGATCTAGTTACTGATGATGGACAAAAATAATGACTGATGATTCTGTTATTTCAGGATAAAAAAGAAGCCTGCTACAAGAGAGACAGCGGAAGGGAGCCTCAAATACATTTTTATAAGGATCTGCTAATCATGAGGGGGCAGACAAAAGAACCTGCATTTTCCTTCAGCTTAATATCAGGGGTCGCCACAGCGTAAGGAACTGGATATTACTTTGGCATATGTTTTACACAGCCTTCCAGCTGCAACCCAGCACTGTGAAACACCCATACACTCTCGTATTCACAGACACTTCTACACTATGTTCAAATTCACCTATAGCACAAGTGTTTGGACTGTGATGGAAACCCACACCAAAACAGGGAGAACATGCAAACTCCACACAGAAATGCCAGCGGACCCAGCCGAGACTCATACCAGCAACCTTTTTGCTGTGAGGTGACAGTCTGAGCCACTGTGCTGCCCCAGTGTAGTTATTAATAACCTCCAGATGTTTAACAGTTTGATTTTGTAAAAATAATGCACGTTTAGATTTATTGTAATATGTTAATATTTATTCACAATGCAATTTATTTTTATGTTATTTATAATAACGTTAAATGTCATAAGAATGTTATAATTTAATATAATATTATAATAAATAATTATAATAATGTTAAAATATAAATAATACAATTTTTTTTAATAGTTTATTTTTATAATGAGAAGTCTCAAAGTTTGTCTTTATTATAGAAAACTCATTGTTGAATGGCTACCACTTTACAATAAGGTTGTATGTATTAGTTAATGTATTTACTAACATAATAAACAATACATTTATTACAGTATTTATTCATCTTTGCTAATGTTGGTAAATGGTAAAAAGTTGTTAATTGTTTATTCATGTTAACTCGCAATGTATTAACTAATGTTAACAAGCATGACTGATTTTATTAATGCATTAGTAAATGCTGTACATAAATTATGCTGTACAGGTATTGTTCATATTAGTTCATATTTAAACCATTAACATTACTTATAAAACTACTGTAAAATGTAACTGTTGTATGTATGTTGTTATATTATATTTGTATGTATTTTATATGTTTTTTATATTTATTTTGTTATATTTGTTAACGTATGTGTTTTGAAACATTTCAATAAGTGTTTAATGTATGTTCGTTATGCAGTATTATAAATAAATGTTATAATGATTAAGTATTTTGTACTTGATTTCATTATTGGACATATTTATATTGAATACAATTGTAAAGGCTAATATAATAATTAAAAATGACATGTGGACCGACCGCGGGCCGCCAGCAGACACTTATTTAAAACCAGCGGTCCGATGGCGGACCACCGTCGGAAAAGCGGCGGGAGCCGATGGTGAGCCGCTGGAATAACGATGAGCAAATTGACAGTGGACCGCAGGCGGCGCCCGCCAGTGGACCGCCGACTTTGCCGCCGGCGGGCCGCCAGTGGCCCGCTGGTCTTATGTTAGCTGGGAACGTTAACATATGTTCAGTTGCCTCTTGTGACAGTTATTATACAGTTTGACAACAAGCTGGAATCGTCTATGGGCCAGTGACATCATCACAAAATTAAGTGATTAAAGACTTTTTTTAGACAACCAAACGTGTTGAACTTTTATTTCAAATTTAAGCTCGGTTGGAGGTTTACTTTTTTGGTTGAGCTGTAATTTTGACATCTCTAAAATACCACTAAACTTATAGTTTTCATAAACATGCTTTAATATGTTGGTCCTATATTATATATTTTTTCCTCGTAACTATTTTGTTTGGAACAATAAAAATATAGATATAAAAAATGACTTGTTTTAATTTAATTTTTTTAAATAACTGGTTTTAAAAAAATAGACTTTAATTAGTAAGCTCTAAGATGACTGGTGTGTGGTGTCCCTTTCTCATATAAAAGAGTGCATCAGTTTTCTTTTCCAACACCCCCCACCTCCCCAACAAAGAACATGCCATTGTTTTTGTGCAATCCCTGATTGTATTATGACTTTAGTCTAATCTGGCCCTATAATTCTTTAGACTCTTTGATTTTTGACAACACAAACCCTTTTTGTTGATCAAACTCTTCTCAGTTCTGTCAAACAAATATATTCACAAAGTTATTAATAGTTCTCAGAACTCTTTACCTGCTTGCATAGGTTTTTGGAATAATATATTTGCGGACTTAGATTGGGAACAGTTTTGGCTTCTTCTGAAAAAAAAAAGGCTATTTGTATCTAATAAAGCTGTCGAAGTTTCAGTCAAAATCATTCATAATTACAACTCAATAAATACCAAACTAGCTAAATTTATGACAATGTTTCCCCCAAATGCTTATTTTGTACTCAGTATGACAAACACTAAATTATTTATGATGGTAATGTACTCTGTAAATTCTTTTGAGTTGACTTTTCCAATTTCATTAAAAAATTCTTATTTCCAAACTTTTGTAATGTTATTCTTTGGTTACTATCTGAGCTTAGGTTCTTCTCATTGTAAATTTATGAATAATTTATTGCTTTTCCTGGGTAAATTTGTCATCCTTGAATGTAGATTTTCAAAGAAACACCCCTACTTTTTATTTTCAAAAAAGGCTTTGATTTCTATGTAAACTTCTTAAAAATAATTATATTGCATGTACTGTAAAACGGCTTGGTGTAATAATTTAAACTTGTTTAATTTGCTGGAATGTTATGCAACCTTTTTGTCTCTTTGTTCATATTGTATATTTGTAAATGTTCTTGCATAATAAAAAAAAGGGAAAAAAAGGGTCTATAGGCTAATAATGATGACGACGATGATGATAAAATACTAACGTAGTAGTAACGTTTAAATATATTAAACTTATTCACTCAGAAACATTATTAATAAATGCCACAATTTTATTAAACCTCAAAACCAGCATATCAATTAAACCACAATAAATAGACTTAATATTTCAGCTCCTATAGTTTTACAAATGTCTGAGTTTTGGAAAATGCCTATAAATTTTATTACAACGTGAAATATTATTTAGGCAACAACGAAGAACAGGGCAGCAGTCTTCAGTAGCCTATATTAAGAAATAAATCTGGGAGCTAATCTGCCACTGGAGGGCAACAGAGAAAACACTTCACCAACACCTTGTTACTGTGGAAACGACACGCGCAGAAAGAAAGCTTGTTCACGCTACACTGAACTTTTGAATGGCTGAAAAGATGAATTTGGAGGATTATTTTCGATTGGTTTTCGAAGAACGACTCTCATTGTAAGTAAATATTATTTATTACACTCCAAGTGCTATTTTAGAATTAATAATGTGCTGCTGGATGAGCTGAAGCGCAATTAACTGTTGTCAAAGCTTGGTTTAAACTGATTTAGATATTTTATAGTGGATTTCATGTTCTTAGAGATTTTTCAAACTTCTAAATTCAGAAATAAGGCCGAACATGAAGGCTTCAAGGATATGAAAACAACTGCCATGCAACTTCTGGAGGCGCGCGAGCAGAGCGCGTGCGTGAGCAGAGCACTGGAAGTCCAGAAAGAGGTAGGATGTGTATGGTTATTATTTACATTTTAGCGCTTACATTTTAATCAATATGTATTTACGCTCTGTCTATTGTCAGGAGATGCAGATGAAACAGGAGAGTTTAAAAGAGAGAGAAGAGAACATTAAAAAGGAAGAGGAGAAACTAAAGAATTCCCTACTGCAATATAACAAGTTTTTGCAAGCAAGGCAACTTTCTGAAACAACTGCATCTATCAATGGATAATGTGTTTAGTGGCTTGGTGTTTGGTTCTACTTTAATGTCTTTCTCTCCATACAAGGAAAATGATGCCAGGCGGTTACGTGCCATAAAGAAAGCAGAGGCAGAGAGAGCACAAACCAGACTGAAAGAACTGGAGATTCAGAAGCTAAAGACGGAGAATGATGTCCTGCTGGCACGAAAAGAGCTGCTGGAAGAACGTGTCGGAAAAGCCAAATGCTACCAAGAGTTCCTTGAGAGAGCTGCAAAAATGTCCAGAAAGGTAGTTTGTATTTGTTGTTAAAGTATGCCAAGCCTCTTTAGTCCATCAGGTCTGTCCCAGGTTTTGCTGAAGAGTGAGATTTTTTTGCACTTTGAGAGTTATCTGAATTAAACACAGTATAGGGCAAAGTTGGTTAGCTTTGAGTTGCAAAATTATTTAAAGAAAGAATGGGAATGTTTCATTACAGAGCAATGCATTCTGGTAATTTGGGACATAGGAAGCTGGATCCCATTGATCTATATAGGTTTATTGTCTCATATATACAATTACTTGTAATAAAGTATAAGCACTCAAACTACAAATAACAATTTAAATCATATAAGGAAATATGGAAATGAAACCCTGTCACATATTGATAAGCTGGTTCATTTAACTGATCCACTCCCTCTGCATCTGTGTTCTGCTTTTCTAGCTACATGTTAGCGCTGGAGACAGAATATTATGGATTTAATATTTCCAGCTTGTCAGACACACAAAGAACTTTTAAAAAATGTAACTGGACATTAGTCTATTTTATTCTGAGTGTTTGTAAGATGTTTTTTAGAAGTTTTTTTTGTGGCGATTTGCATTGGTTTACATTGTGCCATTCCTATTCTCTATGGCAGTGTTTCCAACTTCTGTTCCTGGAGGCACACTAACAGTACATATTTTGGATTTCTTCCTTATCTGACCCATTCATTTCAGGTTTTAGAGTCTCTTTTAGTGTTCTGATGAGTTGATTCAGGTGTGTTTGATTAGGGGGAGGTTGAAAATGTGTACTGTTGGTGTACCTTCAGGAGCAGGGTTGGGAAACACTGCTCTATAAAATAGCAGATTTTAATTTGTTATCAATTATATTTTAAAGGATAACTTAATATTTGGACCAGTCTCATTCTGTGCATTTTTTGTTTCTGTAACTATAAATATTTGCATAAGGATATTGAGTTTTGGGTGACATGGTGGGTCAGTCGCCTCACAGCAAGAAGGTCGATGGTTCGAGTCCTGGCTGGGTCAGTTGGCATTTCTGTGTGCATTTTGCATGTTCTCACCATGTTGGTGAGGGTTTGCCCCACAGTCCAAAGATATGTGCTATAGATGAATTGAATAAAATATAAATTGGCCATAGTGTATAAGTTTCAATGAGTGGGTTTGGCCACTGACTAAAACATATGCTGGATAAGTTGCCGGTTCATTCTGCAGTGGCGACACCCCTTATGAATAAAGGGACTAAGCCAAAGGAAAATGAATGAACATTGACTCTTGTTTTAATCTCATTCTTTTATTTCTTTTTTCTTCGGCTCAGTCCCTATAATTCAGGGATTGCCACTGCAGAATGAACTGGCAACTTATCCAGCATATGTTTTACGCAGCGAATGCCATTCCAGCCGCAACCCAACACTGGGAAACACCCATAGATTCTTGCTTTCACACACATACACTACGGCCAATTTAAGCTTACTCAGTTCACCTATAGTGCATGTTTTGACTGTAGGGGAAACCGGAGCACCCAGAGGAAACCTAAACAAACACAGGGAGAACATGTAAACTCCACACAGAAATGCCAACTGATCCAGCAAGAGCTCGAACCAACAACCTTCTTGCTGAGGTGATTGTGCTACCCACTGCACCACGTGACATCTGATTTAATCTAATTTAATAATATTTTTAACACTCATTGTAACATGTTATTTTTCTTTTTCTGTCTATTTGTCCTCTCTTTTTATGACATTTGAGTTTGAAAACCCTTGCCAAGTCATTGATCGTATTCAAGCACTGCAGTCAATCAACAAGGAACTTCTAGAAAATCAGACAGTTTTGGAGAAGGAGAGAGAGAGAACAAAGCTGGAACTGATGCAATACATAAATAAACAGCGAACAGCTCTTCTGCACTATAACAACCAACTGCACCAGCTACAGACACAGCTAGACAACATTCGCATAGAAGCATACAAATGGGTAAAATCACACATGCACGCACACATTTTCACTTAGATAAATGTATCAAAGGCATAGTTCTACCAGAATTGCTAATTATGTCATCATGTACTAACTCTCCACTTTTTGGAAACCTGTTCAAGTTTCTTTCTTCTGTCAAACACACAAAAAAAATTAAATATGTTTTTCCAAGAATTGTTTGGAAGAAATGGAGGATGAGTAAAGGATGAGAGAATTGTTATGTCTCTTTATTGTGCATCTACAAATCGACACAGATATAGCATCTCTGTTATCTGTACAGTTCGGTTTTAGAAAATTAAAGACTGTTTGCTTTACAGGAGATAAAACTGAAGCACTTCCAAACCACAGCTGCAAAGGAGACACTAGAATTTGCTCAGCTAAAGACCACAGTTCGTAACATTTATCAAATGATCATCACACATTACATCAGGAGGGTCTCTGAGCACACCGAGGACACCTTTAAGCAGTTGGAAACGGTAAATAATGCAGTAATTCAATGTTTGGCAACCATGAATATATCCGTGTTTGTTGTTGATGTGAAAATTAGCATATGTTGTTGATAAGCAAAATAAAATTAAGACAAAACAATGTAATTGTCATGTTCACCAGCAATCCAGCCTGTGCAGATTGCTGAAGAACTTCAAATCTGCCACTTTAATGAACTACAAATGCCATCGTGCACTTCACTCACACACCTTGCTCCAGATACCATATGATTGCATGATTACCTGCATGATCTGTTTGTTCCTGTTTTATCATTGCTTGCCTCACTAAGCCTAATAAACTGGATGTGGATCCGCATCTCCCTTGTCGGCATCCCTGGAGGATCTGGCAGCTCTGGAAGGGGTGGATTTGTTGTTCTTTAGTGATCTGCACAGGCTGGAGCGCTGGTGACCGTGACAGTAATGGTCTAAAAAGTTGTGTGATAAAATTCAACACACAAACTGATGTTTTTTTTGTTGTTGCAAGAAATACTCTGGTAAATAGATAAATTTTGGTAATTTTCCTTTCAGATTCAGAAATATTTTCAGCTTATGGAAGCAATAGATGAGGATCTAAAATTCAACATTATGCCAAATCGAACTGAAGAGAATGGCACTGGTGATTAATCTCCAAGCTTTGAAGATATATATATCCAGTGAAAATGGACGGATACGCGTAAGCTAAATAAAAATAGTCACTGACCACATGTGTGATAAAACAAAGGGCTGTTGTGAGACTGTATGGACATTAAAAAGATAATTATTTATCTTCCATTGTAATTACAAACAATATGAAACTGTTCAAAAGTCTTTATGCTTCCTGCAAAGGCAGCATGTTTCAGTTTTTAAATGGAGCCATAATGTCTCCAAAACTAAAATACACTACACTAATTAAAATCAATGACAATAACTAGGCTTTAGTCATTTTTAAAATTAGATGCCATTTTATTATAATTAACAGACTGTAAAAGGGTTAACTCAACCAAATATGAAAGTTCTGTTATTAATTATTCACGCTCATGTGATTCCAATCCCCTGAGACCTTAGTTCATTTTCAGAACTCAAAGTCAGATATTTTAGATGAAATTCAAGAGCTCTTTGACTTTCCATGGACAACAAGGGTCCCAAAATATTCAGAAGTCCAGAAAAAGAATAAAAAATACATGTCTTCAGTAGTTTAGCTGTAAATATGCACAGATAAGAACACTTTTTTGCACAGAAAAACCCCAGTAAAAATAATTTTGTCTTTCATGTGAGATCAGGGAGCACATTTACTTTAGGCAATACACTGCTTGCTGCAGATCCTTAAAAAGTCTTACATTCCATTCAATACATTTCCATACATACAATCTGTTTCAAAGGTCTTTATCAAACCTATCCCATAAAGATTTTGTTTCCGTTTTGAAATCTGTCTATTTGTCACCCAGAACAAAATAGGCAAAACCTAATAAAATAAATGCTCAAATAGTGATTAATTGGTGGTGTGCTTATTAATTTTTTTTTTTTGCAAATTCGGTACTATAAAATTACACTATGCATTTGGTCTTAAATTTCATTCTGTATGGTATTAAAATAGTTTTAAGAAGTCTTTAATATCACTTGAAGAAGCGTGCAGACTAACTAACGCGGAAGACAAGATGTCAAACAAAGTAATTTTTAAAGTTTTGTTTTTGTGCTTAAAAATGTTCTTGAAAAATCACATGAAATGTTTTCGCAATTTTTTGCTAGACTTTAAATGTCTTTTTTTTTTTTTAACTGTTGCTGAATATCGTGAATGAAAGAAAAATATCTCTGATTTTAATAAAACACCTTATTTTGTGTCTCAGGGGTTTGGAACGACGAGGGGGAGTAATTAAGAACAGAATATTCATGTTTTGGAAACTAGCCTTAAAAGCATCATAATTTTTGGATTTGCAAAATTTACTGCCCAAAATTCTGCAGACTGGCTCTGACTTTTGCCAAGTGTAGTGTTGACTCCCTTAAGCTCAACTGAACCGACAGACGGCAGACACTTCTCTGTGTTTTGTCGAGTGAGTGTGTTGCCCCTGTTGGTGTCTGCTGGCATCAGTCAGAGCTTGTTTTTGCCAATCGAGCTTGTCGCTGGTAGAATGTCTGAGAAGTGAAGTACTGTACTCTGGAGATAGTCCACATTTGTTCCTGGCTGTAAGTGCGGTATGACTTGGCATTTCATATAGGGCAAATATGTGCAATTTGTAATGTGAATATATACACATGAATATTGAAAGAGTCTTACAGCTGGCTTTATTAATTTTAGAATCTAACATAAGTGTAATAATGATGATAGTCTTGCACTCGTCTTTTGTCACCTGTTCTTTTTCACTTCCCTTTTTTCCCCTTCCCTTTCTTCCCTTTCTTGGGTTTAGCGCTGACCTTCTTGGCCTTGCGCACACAAAAGCCCCTCCAGTAGGCCTGAATGACAGTGGCAGCTTGACTCTGTATCTGCCTTTCTCTTTCCTGCTGTTCCCTCAGCTCCTGAGCCTCCTGTCGCTCCTCCATTATCTGTGAGTACTCCAAGTCCAGAGTGTCAAAGCGCTTCTCCAGCTCTGTCAGCTCCATTTGATCTTCCTCATGCATGCGTGTCATTTCCTCCAACTCTGTCTAAACACACACATGCAAAATAACATGCATTAATACACATATGATTAAGATAAGAGGTGTAATAAGGAAATAAAAGGTGTAATAAGGATGACTAAAAGGTGACTTGTCAGTATTATTGTTTACTCCAACAAGTAGACAGATAGTCTAATTGCACATTGAGCCTCATGATCACCAAGTCTGTTATTTTTTATTTAAAGTACTGTAAAACATTTAATATGGAAAGTAGAATTGCTATTAAAATTTGAAATTTTTTACTGTTTTATTTAGAATTGTGTGTATTTAATTTTTATAATGGCAACTTTAAATTATCAGCAGCCATTACTCCATTCCTTACTACCACAAGATCCTTCACACTTCATCTTGATATGCTGTGTTGGTGCTCTTTTATTATTACTATTAATACTGCAGCTGAAAACTTGTTCTGTTTAATATTCTTGAGGATACAAATATCTAAAACATATTTGTTTTGAAGGGCACCTATGATGAAAATCAACTTTTGGAAGCTGTTTGGGCAGGACTGTGTGTAGATATAGTGTGTCCACAATCATATTAGGGTGATATTAAGTCAATAAGTCTCCTTTTCTAAATTTCCTGACAATAAAATAGGATAAAAATCCCTCCCTTTTTAGGGTCCACCACAACGTGAAGTAGGAGTGTGGTTTCCCTGCCCACTGAATTGATTGGCAGCTCCTTATTAACATGTCTTTTGTAGTAATTAGTACTGTATAATCATATCAACAAGACAGGATGTGCGGAAAGCAACCAGGATTATAAGATATAGTCAGTTCGCTGTGATCCTCAATCATCATCAAATGTGATCAAGAATGAGTTTTACAAGTTTAAAACGTTTTAAAACAGAGCATGTTTGACTTACATCGATTTTACCGTCTTTACTATCACCACAGCCGCATGTCAGTACAAATATAAAAGAAGATGCTTCAATCCCTGTTTGTGGACGTAAAATAAGGTTTAATTTGTACATGAACATAACAGATATCTATATAGCAGTGAATATTAATGTGTATCCTGTCGCATTTGCGTGCAAAAACAGTGCAAAGTTGAATGCGCGCACTGTGTGTGTCTGTGTGCGTGAACTTTGTAACGACATTGTGTGTGACTCATCGTTGCAGAAAAGCTTGAATTCACAAATACATCAAATACTCATTGGGAAAGTTCTTACAGTAGTATTTCTCACAAACGATACAGTGAGACACAAAAGATTTTTAACAGTGAAATAGACTTATTTCTGCCACTTTTAAACAGCAAATAACGGTTCTCACGGATCAAGGAATTTTTTGGAATATCATGAAATAATAACAGGTCTAGTTCATACTTTGAATGCCAGGGAAAATTATTTATTGTTGTCCAGATCATGGGATATCAGGGATTTTTATTTGTCATTTTAAATTATACTTCCCATTTATCAAAAAAAAATTGGTCTACACTGTATTTATTATGTTATTTAACGTGTTTTGCCTATCTTTATGGTTATGCTATTTTTAGTTTGCCATGTTATTTCTGTCCTGTTTTTATTTGCTTAGTATTGCACACCGGATGAGCTCATCCCCCAGCATGCTATTGCAGAATCGAAATATTTAACTAATAATAACAACTGCCTTTTTTCTATTGATTGCAGGTGAATGAAACTTTTTAGTCAGTGAAAATCAGGGAATTTTCTTGACTCCAAACCTTTGAAAAGTATCTGCAAATACAATCAAAAATGACACTGCAAACATCAGTAAAAGGCATGCCACATTAATGCCAACCTGTTTCTCTCCTATTTCGGCATCATATTTCTGGATCAAGTTCTCTATCTCTGTTTCCTCCTTGTATTTTTCCTGCAAAGAAAATCCAGTAACATTCAGAACAAAATCATGCTTATATGATTAGCTGAATGACAGTTGGATGTGCACACCTTTCGTAGATCCTGTTCTCTCCCTCTGCTGGCTTTGATAGCATTATTGAGCTGAGTTCTCAGTTGACTGGCCTCCTGCTGCAAGCGAGCTCTCTTCCCGTCTGACGTCTTCCTGTCTGAATGACTCTGTTTCTCAGCGTCCTGTTGAGTTCGCATCACAAACTCCTCTAAACCTTTTCCCATCTGATGCAGTGTGCGCCTCAACTGGAGCACTTTATTATTCAATGTGGAGATCTGGAGTGAGAGACAAACAATTAAAAAAAGAAATGGTGGGTGATGTTAGATGAGGTTTTGTGCTCTTTACCTCTGCATCCTTGTTTTTATTTGCCTCAGCAACCTCTTTTTCCAATGCCTCTATGAGCTTCTGGTTGGCAGAGTGACGCTGACTGACCTCCAGCATCATCTTTCTGCTTTCTTTTTCCTCCGCAGGGGTTGTGAGCAGCCTCTCCAAAACAACCTCCCTCAATTCGCATAGGCCATTTCTAATTTTCTGTGACCCCATCTCTCCTGTTGTGTTTGGTTCTATTCGTTTTAGCACCACCTTTGTGGTTGGAGTTGCCCTAAGCAGACGGATGATCTTACGAAAGGAGTCCTGAACTAATTTAGCTGATTTGGCTTTTTCTACCTGCAGTTCATTTTGATCATGATTTCCATCCAGAGCTATAGATTGGTACTTTTCCTCAAGCTTCTGGTGCTCTTTCAGGGCCTTCACCACCTCCTCTTCCAGGCTCAGGGAAAGTGCTTCTGAAGACTTCAGCAAAGTGGGAAGAAGAGAAGCTGTCTCCATCTGATGAATGCACTCATCTAGTACCCCCAGAATGAGCTTTGCTTCCCGACATGAAAGAACCTTCCTGGATGGGTTGATGGTCTTTGGGGAATCTGCCTTAGTTTTGTTTGGAATGGTGGCAGCATCCACGTCCATCATTACAGGTTGCTTTAAGTGAAAGAAACAATCATATTTAGACATTAAATAAACATCACTGATAAAACATTCATTCATTTTTTAACTTAGTCCCTTTATTAATTAGAAGTCACCACAGCAGAATAAACTGCCAACTTCATTCATTCATTTACTTTTCGGCTAGTCCCTTTATTAATCTGGGGTCGCCACATCGCAATGAACCGCCAACTTATATTGCATATGATTTTTGCAACGAACGCCCTTCCAGCCACAACCCAGCACAGGGAACTCTACAGCCATTTTGTCTCATTTAATTCACTTGTACCTCATGGTTTAACTGAAGAAAAAATATTCAAAGATGATTTCTTGAATTTACAAATTTTTTTTTTACTTTAAGTGGTTGTAAACAATTTATTTAGACTGAATTTAAAATTGTATTAACTTGATTTTTTTAAAATGTAGATTTAACACATAAATTGTTTGCAACAGTTTTGCAGACATAATTTTCTTCAGTGTTGGACTGTGGGGGAAACCGGAGCACTCGGAGGAAACCCATGCGAACATGCAAGCTCCAAAAAGAAATGCCAACTGACCCAGCCAGTGCTCGAACCAGTGACCTTTTAGCTGTGAGACAACAACGCTTCCCACAGCACCACCGTGTCACCACTGATGAAATAATGATTTTAAAAACATTTAAAACAAGATTATTGTGATATACTTGGGTAACAATTTTTGGTCCACACAATGTTCCTACGCAATCTCACGACAATTCTTATTTTTTTGATTAAGTGGCTAATTCGTACAATTTGCTCATCATCACCCAATGATGGTTAGGTTTAGGGGCGGGGTTTAGTGTCACGATCCTTTTTAAATATGTACATTTTCATACGCCTGAATGAATTCTAAACTGACAAAACGTAAAATGCTTAAGTTTTCTCGTGAGATCATGTTCAGGGAATGTTGATTTTGGGCTCCCTGAACATTCTTTTGTTAGCCAGGAAAGTTTCTTTATAATGTAAATCGAACATTCCCTCAAGGTTTGGAGATAGCCTGTTTTAAACTATCTTAAAAACATCCCTGATATACTAAAGGTTGTTTTTGTATACCGAAAATAAAGCTAGAGAGAACATTTCTAGAAAATTCTTATTTAGTTGCCCTCAAAATAAAAATGTCTCTAAACAACTTACTTCAGTATTATAATAAATTAAAACAGCAGCATGAAAACCACTATTTCCCATACGTTACCGTGTTATTATTCTTGCTGGTAGAAAACTCTCTGCGCTTGCGGTAGAACAAACTGTTGTTATTTATACCAGTTGCTGTGACAACCGTTGGCAAGACATTCTGATCTTCAACCCTCCGTTCAAACTTCTCAGTCCAGCAAAGGATAAAATAAGAAATTTCCCTTATGATCTACTTAATATCTGCACGCTTATAAAACTTTCAGATATTTGTTTCATAAACCTCATGCTATGAGAGAATACATTCGTATTTGATATGCAACAAATATTTTCACACCGTGACTTTTATTGTGACATTTCAGCTGTTTCGCTTCTGATCCCAAGAAACGACACTGTCGTAAAAAAGTCGTAGCAGCAGATTCTTTCGCTTGTCGGCGGCGGGTCTTGTATTTATAATGTTAGAAACTCGATTAAATCGCGTTTTTCTGCTTTTTAAAGTTAAACGCGTTGTTTATTGATTAGAAAAGTCGTTGTATACTTAGCCTTTTCGTTGGTGTTTTAATTTCAGCAGATGACAATGACGTAAACAGACAGACTCAGTTTGGTTTTAATCATGATTCGTTTAACATGCGCCGTTAAAGTTGTTTTAATGCGCATTTTAGCATAAACTCGCTCTGTTTGGTGTTCGGGGACAGTAATGCGCTTCTCTGTAACTCGTGTGGTGTAGCGGAGCACTGTTAAAGTTTCTCTGCAGCAGTGAAAGGTCACTTTATTAAACGCAGAGACTATCCGTGTCCCCCAAAACTGCGGTCCTCTCGCGGAGTCTTGGTTCTGCGGGATGGCGGACGGGGACGACGACGTGCCCCTTATCCTGACCTGGGACGATGCGAGCAGCGGGCTGCTGGAGGAAGATGAGAGTGAGTACATCTGTCTCCTTTACACCCTATTCAGCGCAGCACCCGCGGAAACCTGAGCAGGGCTGTTTCTCAATTCCAAGGACGCAGAGAATGGACTTGCGTTCTTGTAGAGTGCGGTCTTGCCAGGTGTCCTCGGAAGAACGAACTCAGGAGACTGCGAGGGCAGAGAACGCGTCCTTTGAGAAATGGGATGCTGCGTTCTTCCTGATGGTCATGTGACCTTCACGCGTTTTAAATGGAAATTATTTAAACATTACAGCCTTCATACAACGATTTATTGTTTCCCCCCTCTTCAAAATATATACTTTGAATAAAAACATTATAAATATACTCTGCACAATATAAATAAAACAAATTTTAATACGAATTTCATCAAACAAACACCCTTAATGTGTTTATTCTTTTATTAAGATATTCATGTTAATGTTTACTTTCACCGTTTCATTTAGGGAAACTCCTGAGGTAAATAAGTCATATCTCTGAACTTTAATAATAAATCTAAATAAAATGCTGCGCTTCCCACCTCCAGTCGCAATGACTTCTGGGACTTCCAGAGCGAGCTCGCTGCTCAAGTCCGCATCGGTGCGTCCTCAATATCAAGAACACATCCGGGAAGTTTCACGCGTCCTCCGTACTTGCGGTCTTGAGTATTGGAACTGAACTTGGGCAGCTGATGATGACGTTGCACGAGAACACGAGGACGCAAGACCGCTGAAGAACGCATATTGAGAAACAGCCCAGGACTCTACTGATGTAGAGCTGGACTGTGTGCTGTGCAGGCCAGTGCAGATTTTACCCATCAGCCCTCTTCTGCTGTTCTGACATCTGTTATGTGCGCAGAGTCTGAGCTGTCAGATACTGCCCAATACCTCAAGTATTTTTTTAAACTTAGAATATATTGCTTTTTTTTTTATATATATATACACACAATTAGGACTATTAAAACTGAATAAAGCCAATAGGGTTTGTTTGTTTAATAACTAAATCAGTGGGAATTGTATCAGGCAGTAGATTAAAATGTCAGCAATTTTACTGAATTCTGTAGCATCCAAGCAACATTTAGAAAGCGATGTGCAATAAATGCATTATTTATATGCATATTTATTGTATTGTTATATACATATAAAGATAGGATTAGATGTATGGCGGCACAATATATCGTTTCAGCATCGATATGGCAATGTGATCATTCTTAATAGACACATATCAGGATATATGCAATGTTGAGTTTCATTAGCATGTGTTTTTGATGCCTGGAATTGTAACATGATTTTAAAAGCATTTAGACATTCGACTTTAACAATGATTTATTTTATTGAATTATTTTTATTTTCATCATTCAGTTACTGTATTTGAATACTGTTAGACTCCAGAAATGATAAAACATGTCATTTTTGTTGGATCTTTTTCTTGATTGTTTTTATTGTTTGGTTTCCCAGAGATGGGTTGCGGCTGGAAGGGCATCCACTGCGTAAAAACATGCTGGATAAGTTGGCGATTCATTCTACTGTGGCGACCCCGGATTAATAAAGGGACTAAGCCAAAAATAAAATGAATGAATGAATGACTATTTATAGTTTGTTATGCATGAATATACTATAATAGCATGTGCAAATACAGAAATGCACTGCAAATAGCAAAGACCACAATGAAAATGTGTTGGGGGATCCCAAAAAGTTTATAGATTGTTTATTAGATTTTATGGAGATGCAAATAGTAAACATTAATTCATCAATCATTGACTAAACACGTGCATGAAAATACTCACAAAACATGCAAATACAGAAATGCACTGCAAATAGCACAGATCACATTAAAAATGTGTCAAGTAAATTTATAGATTGTTTGTTAGATTTTATGGGCGAGGCAGTGGCGCAGTAGGTAGTGCTGTCGCCTCACAGCAAGAAGGTTGCGAGGGTCGCTATTTCGAACCTCGGCTCAGTTGGCGTTTCTCTGTGGAGTTTGCATGTACTCCCTGCCTTCGCGTGGGTTTCCTCCGCGTCCAAAGATGAATTGAGTGGGCTAAATTGTCCGTAGTGTATAAGTGTGTGTGTGGATGTTTCCCAGAGATGGGTTGCGGCTGGAAGGGCATCCGCTGCGTAAAAACTTGCTGGATAAGTTGGCGGTTAATTCCGCTGTGGCGACCCCGGATTAATAAAGGGACTAAGCCGACAAGAAAATGAATGTTAGAGATGCACTTCCATTGCAGAATCATTTCAATCCCTCTAACATTATAAGTTATTTACAAATAGAGATATTAAGTCTGGTGAAATTATATTTAAATAGCAATACAAATCGCAAAAAAATATTGCAATGCTAGATTTTCCAATATCGTGCAGCTCTAACTAGATGTATTTGTGTTTGATTATTGTTCTGTATTTATCCAGTTAAAAAAAATTTAATAAACAGATAAAAATACCCCTCCCACCCCTGAAATGTAACAACAACACAAAGTAATGCTATTAATAAATTAAAGTTAGAGCCTAATCGATAATCACATATTACGACTTAGTTTTTACTTGCTGATCTGGCCAATCTCATGAACCAACTCAGAATAAGATGCACGAGCATGCCTGGGTTATGCATCAGCAGTGCTACAACACATAAGCAATATTTCCAAATTGAATTGTTACTCATTTTTCTTACCATTTTTAAAATTTGTTTTATTCATTTTTTTGTAAAGCTGCTTCTCACAAGGAATTGGTACTCAGTATCGGCTGCAAAAATTCTGATCAGAGCATCTCTAATATTATATAATAATTTTATTATACAGATAGCCCTAAAATATTTTGGTAACACTTTACAATAAGGTATAATTTGTTTACATTAGTTAAAAAGTATAGAACATTTAAAAATTACACTCATGTCATAATTTATCCACCACTTCCAAACTTATTTGAGTGCTCTCTTCTGTTGAGCACAAACAAAAAAGATATATTGAGGATACTGAAAACTGGTAGCTATTGACTTTTAGTATTTCCCCCTCTACTTGTTTACAACATTCTTCAAAATGTTTACTTTATGTGCAAAAAACAACCAGTGCACTAGAAATTTAACTTAAAAGATAACATGCCCTAAAAGCAATACATTTTTACAGCATTTTGTAGTCTTTGTGTAGTCTCATATTAATTCATAGTGCATAAACTATGTCAACAAATACTGCTTTATTAATAAATCAGTGCAATAACAAATATAGAAATAAACATGAATTAGGACTAATAAATGCTTCCCAATATTCTTTGTTACCTCATGTTAAAGTTTAGGGGATTCTCATGAAACATTTCTAACTTGAATTTTAAAAAATGTTTAACTTTTTTTTTTTTTTTTTGCAGATATTAGAAACAAAGTCTGATATCATTTATTTATTAGTACCTTTTTAAGCATACTTTTCAAAATAAGTTATAAGTTAATAAAATCATTACCACTACAGTCTGCAAAATCTTAAAATTATGTTAAAATTACATATTGTGCTTAATAAAGCACAGCGTTGTCTTTATTCTTATATTTTTATATTACTACATTGCTAAGTTTTATACATTTAAAATCATAAGTGTCATTTTGTTTGAATGGTTTCAGAATAAATATTCTAAATGTAAAGTGTTAACAGTTTTATATATTATCATTATAAAAACCCTGCACAACAAGCTTATCAGTTAATGAAACGGTGATAGCCTTACAGGAGGAATGTTGATTAGTTGATTCTCTGAGATACTTGAAGACCTGCTGTACTGTATAAAACCTGATCTTTAACCCTCAGTCTCTCCCTTTAAGCGACAGTGTGCATGAAAGAAGGCCATGTAAACAGTATGAGTTCCAGACACTGACTCTAGAGGGCTCTCTAATCCAGCCTTTTTATCATTGCTGACTGTGTTGTTGACATTGCTAATGTGATGGGAGATGATTTGTAACTCTTCTGCTTAGGCATCACTGATGGTCGTAGTAAACAGGGCTGTTTTCTCCACACCAGATTATGATAGCTTTTCTCATGTTGGAAATGAAGAAAAATGTGGAAATTTATGTAATACAGAGGAATCGCTGAGAGTGAGTTTAATTTCATTAGTGTGTGCTATAATGAAGAGGGATATCAGTGGTGGAGTTTGAGGTTTTGTAAAGCTGAGCTGAGTGTTCACTGCGTCTGTCATCAGCGGCAGATCTGGTTGTAGAGTGACTTGACTTGAAAATGCAATACTTAATCATGATCAACAAAAATAAAAGAGAAAATCTTCAAAAGTTAAATGTTGCTGATATTCATTTCATCACAAATATCTTATGTATCCATGTCCATTTTGGATGTTCTGCTGAATTCATTGCAGTTCTGATAATTTTTTACAGTGTTCAGTTTTTGATTGGACATTAACAAATAGAATTCATTTATAAAAATGCTGACAGACACATGCAGACCTTAAATGTCAATCATGTTTAACATTTACAGGCACTAGTTCAGATTGATTTGATTATGTGTAGCACTGCTTTTTAAAAATATATTCATCCAAAACTTTTCTGGAAGCTGCAATTTTGTTGATGTTTCTCTAAATTTGCTCTAAAACTATGCTTGCTTTTGTCCATCCCAGCCTCTAGTATCAAAAAATATACAGCGTTTGTTGTAAAAGTATTTTTTTTTATTCATGTCCCCTTAGTGCATCATTAAACAGTCTCTGTAAAGACACCTATGTGCTTCAGAATTATTTTTGTGTTAATTAGGTTTCATAAAAGTTGAATAAAAAACGTTCAGGCAATTTGTTATGACCTATCTTGAATGTAAAATATATGCCATCATTTGACCCACTATAATTTTGTGACGTCACTAGCTAGTTCTTGCAATGTCCTGCAATGTTCCTCAAAGTAATCTCTGCTAGGGCTGCATGATATTAGAAAAAACTGATATTGCAATATTTCATTTCCTGCAATATATATATATATGCAATTTCATCAGTTTATTTGAATAGCTTGTAAAGACTTCATTATTTTAAATCAATTGGGGTGATTCTATAGGATAGCTTATCTGTTATCTGCATGAAATATTATTTAAAAAAAGACAAGCTAAATACAATAGAGAAAAGATGGAAATGAACAATGATTTATGATTGAGTCAAACAGAATTCAGAAGCAGAAATTAAATAATCACTGTATAAAATTAATAACACTGTATTTATTTAATTGAGTAAATAATTATATATACAATTAATCTTTAAGATACAAATATTTATCTTATTGTGCCCGAAACTTTAAACTTTCACTCGGGTGAGTTTACAATTTGAAATGACTCCACCTTGTTGTTAACTGTAATGTCTGGTCAGCTATGATCCTGAATCCTATTGCGGACTCGCGCTTTGCGATATCGATGCTGAAATGATATATTGTGCAGCCCTAGTCTCTGTCCAACTCTCATGCCTTCTTGTAAAAAAGTAAAGTGGCTAACAAATGTACGTTTTGTTTTTCTGAATTTTAACAATAAAGGGATTGAGACATGCAGCCTGCTCTGTTCAAATGTAGAAGGTCACATGTCCTCAAACAAAAAATCTAGCTTCAGAAGAGGCAACAGTGAAACGGCTTAATTTTAGATATGAAGAGAATGTCCCAGAAAGAGTGGGCAAATACTTGTGTGTGTATGTTTTTAACATTTTTTAATTATGCTGCTTTTCTGGCAAAATGAAGCTGGGCTTGCATCAGAATTGCATTAAATGATGTAGCTGAGCTTAAAATTGATCTGAATAACATTAATAATTTTATATGCAGTATATATAACTCTTGTTTATTTTAGTTGTAGTTAGCCAGCTTCAGTTCACTAATGTTTAGAATCAGATCACCGACCTTCATGTGCAGAGGTGTGTGTCAGTTTGGTGTTACAGTATGTTGTTCAGCTGAGCAGTTAAATCCATCACTTTTTTATGTATAGATATTTGAACTTTGTTTGAACCCTTTTTACACTGATAATGGCGGGCTGCAATGTCAAGCAATGAAAATGATATGCAATTAAACATGTCTCAGATGGTTTGGCGCCATCTTAGCTACAAATAATCCATCACACTGCAAAAAAGCTTGTCTTACCTAAAGGTTTTGTCTTGTTTCTAGTCCAAATATCTACCAATTCTTACATCAAGAAGCATTTTCTAGACAAATAAAAATCTTGTTGTTTTGAGAAGTAATGTGTCAAAATTAAGTTTTTCTTTAAAACAAGCAACATAATCTGTCAATGGGGTAAACAAAATCATCTTGTTTTCTATTTAAAATAAGATCATTTTGCTCACCCCACTGGCTGATTATTTAGCTTGTTTTAAAGAAAAACTCACTTAATTTTGGCATATTATTTCTTAAATTAAGACAATGAGTTTTGCTTGTCTAGAAAATACTTTTACAGTAGATTTAAGAATATTTAGATATTAAGACTAGAAACAAGACAAAAAAAATTAGATGGATGTCAGTAGATCAGACAGTAGAAGCTTGAGGCTCTGCTAAACACTGAATGTGTTGTGCACTGGTTATATCTCCTCAAGAATGGAATGGATCATTACCATCCATTTGTGATCCAACTTCAGAGAGGAGCAGTTGGGGCGGGTTATTTACACTACCATTGAGTAAATAACCAAAGTAAGTTTCTTTAGGACCTTCAAAGAATCATGAGCATTCTATGTCACCTTTAATGAACACTTAGAAGATACAGTCTAGATTTTAAGTCAAGATTTTAAATCTGCCAAAATTTTCTGTAGTACCATTCCTAAGGTATGTGTAAAATCTTTCGTTTACATTTCTTTTTAGTTTTTTAGGACAACAGGATCTTCAGCAGAAAAAAATATCCAAAGATGCTGTTTTAAATGGTAAAGAATTGTTTTTAAAAACAAATGAAGACAGCAGAATCAATGATTTATTTGATTTAGCCTGACATTTTTACTGTAACAAAAATATTGTAAACCTTTCAAAAAATAAAATAATTTGTTTTCAAAGGAGAAAAAAGTTTTTATTTTTACCCAGACAGTTCAAAAGAATATATTTTAGAGCAGTGAGCACAATTCTGTGTTACCATGAAACCGTAATAATATTATCCAAGGATGTCATAACGTCAGAATCTTATACCGGCCGATGCCTACTACACTTTGGTGTTATTTTGTATTTTGGTGAACATATAATCAAATATTATGTGATTCAACAACTAATATACTGTATCTGCTCTTTTGAGGGGAGGAGAACACTAAATAGTACTGTTACTTTAAGAGGAAAGTATCCCAACCCCAACGGTCATGTGTTCATGTGTCCAATACAGCAGAACACCGGCCTCATACCACACACACACACACACACACACACACACAGACAGACAGAGGAGTTAAAAAGCTGCGTCAGCCTTATGACAGATTCAGTGCTGTTTGTGGCCCCCTCTCCACTCCCATTCTGCACACACACAGCCCATGGCCCTGTGTCAAAACTGCTAGTTGGAGATGAGAGCTGGACGCGGGAATGTTTTGAGGATCTGGGTGTAAACTCTGGCATTCTCGGGAGTGGATTTGGGAGGTTTCTTTTCTTTGCCAAGTTAATAAGAGAAGAAAGCAACTTTGGAATGCGCTGTGTCTTTTTGGTTGCTTTTTGTCTTTTGGTCTCTTAATTTTTTACAGAAAAAAACGTTGATGTGAATACCAGATGCCTTCACTTCCTCATTCCTCCTCAAGCTGCTTTCTCGAAATGATTTTCCTCATCACACGGAAGATTGCTCAGACATTTTAGATGCTGTACTTTTTTTAGTCACATCTCTGATCATCAGTGTTTAAACAAAATGGGGATATACACCGATTGGAACTGGACCTGAAAAAAACCCCACCATTAGTGCTGTCATTCTCTCATTTGCTCTTGCTCTGCCAGGAACGTATTGATCAGAGCAAAACCAGCGCTGTTGTCATGTGCTGTTTACAGACAGCTGCGAGTCAGTGAATGATCGGCAATAAAGTAACTCATTCAGTCGGCTTGAGTTTGGACAATCAGCTTATAGCTCTTTGTCATTTACTCTCTGCTGTATTAAATAACCAGGCTGTGGCCTGACAGTTTGTTTAAAAGGGTGTCAGTGGATTAATTATACTTATTGTTTACAGAAAGTCAGGGTAAGTTGATTAAAAAAATGAATTGAAACTTTTTACTTCCCTCAGAAGAAGGCACATGAAGCTCTCTGCGTGGTAAGTTTGTTCAGCAGTGTCCTCCTTCTAAAAAAAGGGGCATTGATGATAAGCTTGGAGAAAAAAAATGTTAAAATGGACACTGAACTTGAGTTCTGAGAAGAAAAACAAGATAATGTCACACATGGAGGCTATGACTGAGAGATTTACAGAGATCTGATGGGGATGGCTGAAAAAACAGCAACATTTAGAGTCTAAAGGACGTTCTTGCTTTGTTTTGGACTAATGCTGGAGGAAATCCACCTATTTCGTGAACTCTGAACTATCAGCAGCCTTTCCTGCCTGTATATCACTGAGAGCCATGAAGAATCCTGGGTGGAGTCCTTATGGAATATCAAGCTTTTAAGATTCTTTTCTTGATATATTTTTAATACTGAGTGCTGTGTTTTGAGAAGCGGCTCTGTTGTGCATTCGAATTCACGTTGGCATTTTATTTGCTCATGTTTTCACCTTCAGAGGAGACATTTTGTTTCATTTATTATATCTGTGACATTCTTGATAAGATATGAACGATTGGTTAAAGTGTTTCTTTGCTGCATTCAAATCAGTGTGTGATGGTGCAGAGACAGACTTTCAAAGAGCTTTTTGGCTGATTTGAAGTGAATTTATTGTAAACGTGTTGTCTTGGAGGAATCGTGTGCATCGCCACAGGATTCTGTTCTGCTTTCCGACTGTTGACCGCAGCTTCTGTAGCTGGCACGATGAAACTTGTATGCATGAGAGGATGGTTTCTAATTAATGCTTGCAGTGTTGGAAACTGCTTGACCGATTACATACTCACTTTCTGACTACTGGGATGTGGTGCCAAATACAGGGGCTTCCATGGATATTAGTAGTACATTTGACAACATGGACACTGGACTGACACAAGACAGACCAGTACAAATGTCCTCATTCTACAAAGAGATTGAGCCTGTTGGTGAGTTACTGAAATCTGCTGTGTAGCCTTATGAGGGTGTCAAACTTACTTGTTTCTAATAATTGTTTAAAGTTGAGTTTCAAGCAATACGCCATTTTTTTTTAAACCTGTGCCACATATATATGAGCAATATCACATGAGTAGCAGTGTAATATGTCTGTATATCGGCACTGGTGGGAGGTGTGCGTTGGCTTGAGGCCACAGGTCGAGGCCGCTTCTCTGCATCCACCACCAGTCCACCACCAGTGAAGTACTAGAATTTGACTGATTCTTTGGCATACTCTGATGACCAAACAGGAGATTTTGCTGACATTTTAAGATTATAAGGCTGAACTGCAGGAAATGGCATCAGTCTACAGAGATTTCCCAATATTTCACTGTTGCAATCAGGAGATCACAATAATTATCCCTGAAAAGGCCAAAGCAAAGCAAACACTACCAGATCACTATGGTATAAATACAGCACTACAAAATACAAAAGAGAGTGATTAACTTAGTATGTTACTTACCTTTCCTATAATGATTTGTTCAGTTGTAGATTGAAATTTATGCTAAATTTTTCTCCCTATAAGGACTTATAATGCGGTCTCTGTTACCTTCTTGTGGCGGAATGTCAACCGTCAATTTCTTGGATCTGCTGATGACCGTCAACATGCAGAATCTCCGGAATTATAAATATTTAAAAAAAAGGCTATCCTTATAGATAAACTGCATAGTTGCAAACTAAGAAAAAGCTATAAAAAAAAGTAATAAAACTAAAAAAAGCCAAAAAAGTACATTATTTTGTCCAATAGCTGCAATATTTGTTGAAGTCTAATGAGCTTATTACTCTGCTTGTAATGTGGGTGGAGTAATACACAAGGGTGAGGAGGCTGAACGAGTGCTGATATTGCAGAATATCGCATGGCTATCAGCCAATCAGGTTCAAGAACCAGACAGGACTGTTGTATAAATGTGATGTATGTATGCATGCATGTATGTATGTTTGTATGTGTGTATATGTATATCTATATGTATTTTCAGAGCAAACTAATGTTTAATCTAAAATTAAATTGCGAAAGGTTATAAAGTATAATAGGTAACAATTTGCGATTAGCTGATTATGGAAACATTTATTTCTGAGTCAGAAGTTCACACACACATTTGGCACATAGATAAGTTAAATAATAAAATATAATAAATAAAGTACAACAAATAAATACTTTTTCAAAATAGATGTTATAAAGTTAATGGATTAAAATCAATAGACAGAAAAAGGCAGAATTATTCATTTCTATGGTAGTTTTAGAAATAAATCAGCTGATTTTTATTAGTTATTAATTTTAATGTGCTATTGAAATCATTAAATAATGTGGTAAATTGACTTTTGCCAACTATTTGAAGGCTTATGGTACAGTGTTGATGAAAAATCATCTAATATTTTTCTTCCTTCTCTACACAGATGGAGCAGGAAATCATGATGTTGTAAATAATGTCACCATCCCCGCCTCAGGAGCATCAGATCCTAGGGCCCAGAATTCTTTGCAGCAGAGCTGGGAAATGAACTTCCAAGAAGCAGCAATATACCTGCAGGTCATTATCTGATCCGCTACAATCTTAATGAAGCAACAAAATAGATTAACACCAACACACACTCAGTTCAGGGTTAATTAAAGTTTTGTCCTGCTCATTTGTTTTTGTTTGTCCTCAGGAGGGAGAGAATAACGACAAGTTTTTCACTCATCCTCGAAGTGCCCATGCGCTCAGTGCCTACCTGTTTGCTCACAGTCATCTGTTCTATGTGGTGGAGCTTCTGACTGCGGTGTTACTCATGCTCCTGTCCCTCTCAGAGGCTCCTGCCGTCCCCTTCCTCCGCCTGGACGTCTATGTATGGGACTTCTACTTTACTATGTGTCTAGGGGCTTTGGTTTTGTAAAACTGTAACTACTTTTGAATGAAATTATTTATTTTGTTCATAAAAAAAAGTAACAATAAGGAATTTGCCAGTGTTACGCAAGATTTGTTTAAACTTTTTTTTCAGTAATCAATCTTAAATAAAGTTTATCTCGTAGATATGTTAAACACAGCTATTTTTAACATTGAAAATAATTTATTCTTGGTTAAAAATCCCACCTTCGAATCCAAAGCCACTAATAAAAGGCTATATTTTCAACAAATGGCAAACAGAATGGGATGAGGGCCCAGATTATAAACTTTTTGAAATTCAGCCAGAAATAGGAAGAAAATCGAATTTATTTTTTAAGTCACGACATGATGAGATTGTTTATACAAAATGCTGCATTGGACACACGAGAGACTCATGCATGAACATTTATTCAAAGGAAAAGAACCCCCAAAATTTCTATATTGCAACAGATACCAAATTGTTAAACATATTCTTGTGGAATGCCCTATTTTTAATGTTACCAGACAACAATTTTTATCTAGAGAGACTTTAAATGAAATATTTTTAAATGTGAATCCATCTAAAATTGTACAATGTTTATCTAAACTAATCCTTAAAAAATTTGTAGATTTTTATCTCATTATCATTATTATTATTTATGTAGTTTACCTTGTATATTATTTATTGCTGTTGATGACTTTTCATTGTTAGAATAATTTTATAATCATAGAAAATCTGTATTTATAAAATGTGGTAAACTTCATCTGTTGTTTTTTTTTGCCATGACATAGCCATAGAAGCTGAAATGGCAATGAAATTAAAACTCTCTCTCTCTCTCTCTCTCTCTCTCTCTCTCTCTCTCTCTCTCTCTCTCTCTCTCTCTCTCTCTCTCTAATTCTTAATCATCAAATCTTAGAATGATTTCTGATGGTTCATGTGACACTGAAGATTGTTTGAATGTCACAGACATAAATAGCATTTTAAAATATATTAAAAGCTTCTATTATTATTATTATTATTATTTACAATATTACTGTTTTAAACTGTCAGAAAATGGTGAACCTGTGAGACTTTTTTTTTTTTACCAAACTTTTACTAAGATTTTACCAACCCTTAATGTTTAAATGGTTTGTGGTAATGTGTTCAAGCTTCACATTTTCTACAGAAGCAAAAATAGTCTTGTTTTAAAAAATATTATGTCAAAATTAAGTGTTTTTTCCTATGGTGTAAGCAAAATAATCTTATGGCAAAAGAAAAAAAAAGAATTATTTTGCTTTGTCCATTGAAAGATTGTTTTACTTGTTTTAAGGAAAAATTCACTTAATTTTGGCATATTATTTATTAAAACAACACAATATTTTGCTTGTCTAGAAAATGCTTCTAGATTTAAAGGTGCAGTATGCAAGTTTGACACCCAGTGGTTGAACTAGCTATTGCACTCCGGGATCAAAACAAATGCAAGCACAGATTGCCAGATTGAGCACAGGAGTGAGTGATTTAAACCGTGTTCTTAAGTAAAGCAATAGCACCCGATAGAAGGAAAAATTTTCATATTAAAAGGAGTTTTTGTTCTAACCAACACCTCGAATTGATATATTAGAAACAGCTTCTATTTCTCACAGGTGGAAAACAGAAAACTGACAATGATCACCTCAGGTACACCTCATGTGCTTTATTCAGTTTTAAATGCAAACAATGTTAGTTTGAATGCCATTTTACATGACATCTATTGCCATACTACTGAAAGCAGCAGCAGATAGTTTACCTTAGATCTTGAAAATAAAATAATAAGTTTGAAATTGAACTTTAGAACTGTGACTCAAAACCAACACATATCAGTGATTCAGCATGTACATTAAATAATGCTAAAGAGGTTTACTATGTATTAATGAGATTGTAAACCTTACCATTTCGTGAGTTAGTGCTTCTGAATGACTTTATTTGAATTTCTGTTATGTTTTGTCTGGTGCAAACAGCCAAATTGCTTATCACTGCAAATCTCCTCACGAGGTGCTTGTTGTTAGGACATGGGTTTAAAATGTAACATGCTCATCTAATGTTTACCAGACATCACATTTTGGTCACGTACACATGCTTTGAGATCCTTTCTGAATGAATGAATAAAATATGTGGTTTTCCACCATGGCAACCCAGGGTGCTGAAATATAATTGGCTAAAGTGGCATTGGGCAGGTAAAAATGACCAAAGCAAAGACAGCGTTCCGGCACAGAAAACACAAGAAGAAAATCTGACTTCAACATTTTTTTTCAGATAAACAAGAATGGCATGTCGCTAGGCATGTTTCTTAAATATCTGCAAACATATTATGGTATTTTTATGCTTTAGAAGAGTCAAAAACTTTAAGAATTTTTAGATGTATTGTGATCAAAACAAAACAAATTAAGTAAGAAAATATTTTTTTTTTGCATTGTATGCCATCACTAACAGATATGATCAAGGCTTTTATGAAATACTATAAAGGTCTTTTCTTTTTCCTGGAAGGTTCACGCAACACTGGAGTTATTGGCTTTGGTAATGGTGGCCTTTGAGTTGTGTATGAAGCTCCGATGGCTTGGCTTCCACACTTTTATACGACATAAGAGGACCATGGTGAAGGTTTGTGCTATTTTTATTATTATTTCAAAATGTTTGGCTTTGTGTTTGGATTTGGTGCACACATACTAACAGTTCAAATGTTATCTTCTCTGTTTTTGTGTGTATCTCAGACGAGTGTCCTGTTTATTCAGTTTATTGAGGCGATTGTGGTCTTAGTCCGGCAGACGTCCCACCTGCGCGTCACAAGAGCCCTGCGACCAATCTTTTTGGTGGACTGCCGTTACTGTGGAGCCGTTCGCAGGCATGCAGAGCTCAAAATTTCTAATACTACTACTAATGTTTTATATTTTAATAATAATTATTTTTTATTGATTGAATATAGAAAAAATAGAAAAAAAATGTCTACTAAATATTGTTATTTCTTTTATAGTACTTTTGTAGTGGTCCAATACAGTGGTGAAAATAAGTATTAAACACATCACCATTTTTCTGCACTGTTGACTTGAATTTTTCACCGGATGTTGGTAACAACCAAAGTAATCCATATTTGCAAAGAAAAAAACTAATTAGTTTACAAATTAAGTCATGTGTAATGAAATGAAATGACACATGGGAAAAAGTCTTAAACACATGAAAAAAGGGAGGTGTAGAAAGGCATGGAAAGATCAAACAGCAGCTGAAATCCCTCAGTAGATAGAAACAATCATCTGCAGCCTCTTTTGTCATTATAAATATATATTTTAGCTGCTTCAGTCCAACATCTACATTACCAAGATGATGAAGATGAAAGCAATATGGACATTTTAGAAAAGAAATGATCCAAAACACAGCCAAAGATACTCTCAAATGCTTTCAGAGAAAAAAAAATAAAGTTGTAGAATCACCAGACTTGAATTCAACAGAAAATACAAATTAAAGGTCAGATTTGATATACAAGAGTCACAGAATTATTAAAATGTTTACAGTTTGTTGAAGTCAGTGAAAAGAATCACACTTGAGTCATCTTTGAGCTGCCATCACCAAAAAAGCCCATATCTGTTAAATGCATTTCAGTAGTTCAGTACTTTCTCCTTTTGCCATTCCTTTGCTATTAACTCATTTTTTAGATTTTTTTTGTGTTGTTTTATTTTTATGTTTGTATTGTTTGGGATTTTACCAAAATCTGGTTCCATTCCATGTCAACAGCTCCTTTACAAATATTGTTCCCAGGAAAAACATGACACGTTCGATCCTTATTTCCCTCACTTTATATGCAACAATCGACTCAAGGTCATGTGTTAGTGTTTTTATTCTACACTAGTGGCTGCAGTTCACTTAATCACAGGAAAGTTGATATAAAGCACATCCTTGACTGAATACAATATGATATTCCAACACCGTATCTGTCTTTTTGTCCTTCCTTAGAAACTTGAGGCAGATATTTCAGTCTCTTCCTCCCTTCATTGATATTCTTCTGCTGTTGCTTTTCTTCATGGTCATCTTTGCCATCCTGGGATTCTGTTTGTTCTCAGCAAACACAGCCGATCATGTTAGTTCATCACAATCACATGCTCTAATTTATATTTCATGCTTTTGTCTTTCTTGCAAACAAACTGTATCCTTTTTTTTCTTCTAGTATTTTAGCACACTGGAGAACAGCATTGTGAGTCTGTTCGTCCTCCTGACCACTGCGAAGTAAGTATGAACTTTGGTGCACACATCCTGATTAAGATAACACGACTCTTGAGTTGCAGTGGGGTGGTTTTATGTCTTCCTGTAACTGAGCTAGTCATTTGAATCTTATCAGCTCAAGCCCCTGAAGGGGAACTATAGAATCGCTCAGATCCTCTGTTATCAGCATGCCCCTGTTTGCTATAATCTCTTTAGTAGACTTACAGATGAGTTTTTCTTCTTCTTTTTTTTTCTTTCTCCTTCACTAGTTTTCCAGATGTGATGATGCCGGCGTATTCGAAGAATCGTTGGTCATGCATTTTCTTCATCGTGTATCTGTCCATCGAGCTCTACTTCATCATGAATCTGGTCAGTAACAAACAGCATCCTATTTATCATGCATTGTAATAGAGCTGGGTGATACGATAAGTCTTCTTAAATCCGGATAATGATATAAAGTGGTCCCTTGCTATAACACGGTTAATTTTTGTGGCCTCGCAGTTTGGCAGTTTTTTTTTTTGTGCAATTTGACGTGCTTTTTTTCTATAGTGCATTGTGTTCTGCGTCTTGACTGGCTGTAGACCATTTTAATCAGTCTTCTTCATGCCGTGTCTCCTGTGCAGTACAGAATGTGTTTAGCTTGCCAAATTTAGAAAAATCTTCGATCGCTAGTAGCGTGACTGAAGTGTTGTACTGTATGTGGCAAGTTTTCTCTCCACAATGTCGACGGAATATTCTGCTCTGTCAAAGGCACCTGCGGTAGCACCCAAAACGCAGAGAAATATGCTAACCATCACACAAAGTGTTGAACTTCTGGACATGCTAAAAGAAAGTAGAAGTTACACAGCTGTAGGGCGCCATTTTGGAATAAATAAATGAAGATCAAATGATTTGATCTTTGGTTTAATTCTATAACAGTGGACTTATTTTTCTACAAATGTTTGAACTTTAAAAGTGTTTAAACAAGCGAGAAAAGTGAAAATGTAATGCCTGTCTGAGAAAAGTGTATATAGTTTGTAGTGAAGGGTTTTACTGCCTTAAAACATCTATAATAATTGTAAAAAAATAAAGGTAAGTACTTTGTGGATTTCGCCTATTGCTGGTTATTTTTAGAACATAACTTTCTCGAATAACAAGGGACCAGTGTAGTATACTTTCTGTAAACTCAATCAACTATTATTTTTGATTATTATTTTTTATTTTATATTTAAAAAAAAATAGACTTAAAGGCAACTTAAAAGCGCCTCTCATGTAGAGAATCTTTTTTTTTTGTATTTTCGATTGGATTTAAGTCAGATGATTGGCTGGGTTATTCTGTAGCTTGATTTTCTTTCTCTGAAAGCATTTGAGAGTTTCCTTGGCTGTGTATTGGATCATTGTCTTGCTGAAATGTCCACACTGTTTTCATCTTAATCATCCTGCCTATGTAGATGTTGGACTGAAGCAGCTGATATTAATTTTCAATGACGAAGGGCAGAGGGTTGCTGAAGAACCACTGAGAGATTTCAGCTACTGTCTGAGATTTCCATGCCTCTCTACAGCTCCCTTTCTTCATGTGTTCAATACTTTTTCTTGTATCATTTCATTTTATTACACATAACTTAATTTGTAAACTAATTAGATTTGGATTTTTTTCATATATGAATTTCTTGGTTGATATCAACATCTGGTAGAAAGTTCAAGTCAACAGCACTTTTAGAAATATGTTTTCTGAGATAAATGGTGGCGTGTTGAATACTTAGTTCTCCCACTGTACATCGTCTTATTTTGCACAGCCCTACATTGTAAAGTTGATGTAAGCTTGCTTTGACTGTTTGCCTCATAGCTCCTAGCGGTGGTTTTTGACACGTTTAATGGAGTTGAGAAGATGAAGTTCAAATCTCTACTTCTACACAAGCGATCAGCCATCGAGCATGCCTTCCAGCTGTTGGTTAGTCGGCAGGTGCGATTTATACACTTCACAGTGTTCTTCATCTCCTCATTTACTGAAGCCTTGTGTGTTATGTCAGTGAATGTGTTCAATCTACCTCTGTTTTTTTTCATTTAGAGGCCAGATGGCGTGTCTTTGAAACAGTTTGATGGACTGATGCGATTTTATCATCCACGAATGACTCCACGTGATCGCTTTCTTACTTTTAAAGCCCTCAACCATTCAGGTGCACCCATGCTGAGGTACAAACTCACATATGTTGTTATTGGTGGTTAATGAGAACTCTCCATTCTGTATGTGTGATATATTTTCAGGGTGTTCGCGGGGTCTTAAAAAGCCTTAAAATGTCCTAAATTTCAAAAACAAAATTTTAGGCCGTAAAAGGTCTTAAATTGATTGAAATGTTGTTTTGTAGGTCTTAAATCATTTTAAACGGATCTTAATTTTCCTTTGTTTATGTAAAGCTACCTAATCAATCCAACACACATCCAATCACCAACAAGTACATATGAATAAAATAAACTGAATAAACAGTCTGTTGAGCATACATTTAGTTTTTAATGAGTTTTTTTTAAATGTTGTTAATTATGTTTAATAGTTATATTGCAAAAGATATATGTATATAACTAGGGTATGCTTGCTTTGACACATTTTAAAAAGTGCCTAAGAAATGACTAATTAGAATTATAGGCAAATCATATTAGATAGGGCAAGTACATTTTTCTCCTTATGGACCATTAATAAATCTTTAGCGTTTAGCCCTGTATACGTCTGAAATTTCATTCTTCGTGGTCTTACTTTGTAACTTAGCAGAACGTAGCAGAAACCCTCATTTTTTACTGTAAAAAAACTTATTTTATGGTCCTACACCTAAAAATGTTTTAGGTGAGGCCAAAGTTTAATGTGATAAGATTCTGGTAAGTATGTTTTTAGTGTTTTGAATTATGAGGACACATGCAATGTCCTCGTAAACCACCTTAATAGAGTATAACTAGGTCACAACCATGTTATTATGCACATTTCTGTTTTTGTAAAACACCAAAACCAGTACACACACACACACACACACACACACACACACACACACACACACACACACACACACACACACCCACACACACACACACACACACACACACACACACACACAGACACACACACACACACACACACACCTTCATGCACTCACGTTCTTATCATTATTTGATCAGATGTTGATCAATTAACAAACGACTTGTCACTTGTCAAGTTTATTATGTGACCCACCAGCCCCAAGGATATATATATATATATATATCAACATCATATTTATATCGTATTTTGTTTATTTTTGCCTTTTTCTGTAAATATTGACGAATGTTCTAATTATATTGTGAAATTTCTGATATTGTGATTTTGATTGTGATTCTTAAACAGACTAATAATGATCGTATTATCTGTTATATGACTGGTAAATGCCCTCATTAAAGGAGATGTTGCTCCAAAACGTAAATTTTGCAAAAGCAACCTAACTGTCATTTACATACTTTTACAATGCCTTATTTTGAATGTTATCAGACATTAATTTTTATCTGTTCAGAATAGTAGAATTTGGATTATTACTATTTTAGTTTTAGATTTTTGTCTTATTTTATGTATAATTAATTGTTGTTGATGCCTTTTTTTTTGTTATAAACCTTTTATTATAGAAAATTTTGTAAAAAAAATGTTTGTAAATTTGTGCTGTTTTTGCTATGAAATAGCCAGGGAAGCTGATATGGCAGTAAACTCAAAACATTCTCTTTCTCTCTTGATATAATGATGATAATAATAATAATGAAAATGTATCTGTGCTTATGTTTTAGTCTCCAGGACTTCTATAAATTTTATGAAGTGATCGGACTGAAGTGGAAGGTCAGATTGCACACACTGTCACATGAATATCCTCCCCAGCTGTATGTTAAATCCTCCTGATCCTGAACATCTGCTATGTGCGTATGTGTATTTGTGTGTGTGTGTGACAGGCACGACGAAGTGGAGAGCACTGGTTTGATGATCTTCCTCGCACTGCATTGCTCATTTTTAAAGGTCTTTAGGGCTTCTTTGTTATAATGATTTATTACATTAGATTTACTGTTTTACGTTAATTCACAATGACCAGATTCCTTCGTGAATAGTTTAAACCAGATATAATCTTTCATATTTTTTTTAATTTTTATTATCATTATGCTTTTTTTTAACAGGAATCAATTTACTTGTGAAATCGAAAGCTTTCCAATATGCAATGTGTAAGTTCAGTCACAAAATACTTAACATGTCTTACTAACACTTACCTACCAGTTACTAACATGATCAGTATTTGTTCAGTATTGTCATAGACTGTATGGTTCAAAAGTTTGGGGGTCAGTAACATATTTTACTCATTTAATTGGAAATGCAACAATTTTATATAATGCATCAAATAATATTAGACTGACAACTACTTTTATGTTTTAAAAAGCTGTTTATTTATGTGAAGGAAAAAAACAAGTTTAGTAGCCATTGCTTATAACCTTCAGAAATCATTCTCACATGAACAGTTAATGGATTTTTTGTAAACATATTTTTAGTGTGTATTTTAAAATCACTGTAATTATATATTCGTTTTAACTGTAACATTTAATCAACATAATGCAATTTTGTTTTAAATAAATCATACTGACACCCAAAACATTCAAATGTTTTGTACTTTATCCACCTAATATTTCCTGTATGTCTAAAAATACTTTCTATTTTCCGATGATTGACCTGTTATAGATCTGGTAGTAGCCGTCAATGGCATCTGGATCCTAGTGGAGACAAACATGTTAAATGGTAAGATCTGCTTGGGAAATGGAACAGCTGTGCTGCAGTTCCAGATAATTCCATGAATTCACAATTCAGAAATGCTTGTAATCACAGGAAACTGTTTTCTCTGTGTGAAACCAACTGAATTAGGCTCTCAGGGAACTCTTTTCTTCTTTTCTCTTCCCACAGATGGCATCTCATGGACTCGTGTCGTCCCCTGGAGTTACATTATTTTCCTTACAAGTAGGAAATTGTCTAAAATTGAATCATCAGTGAATCCTCTGAATGTAAATGTCTTAAAAAAACAAGGGTTCCATTCAAATATTAATTTTTTTATTATTATTATTTATCTTCTCTTTATGTTTCGGTGGAATGAAGTTTATGGTATTGAGGTGTTGTTGAAGATCACAGGCCTCGGACCCATCACATATTTCAGCTCAGGATGGAACCTGTAGGTAGAACAGACACTCACTTTCATACGAGCACTAACAAACACACATTCACATGGCTTCACCTCTGGATTTGTTTGTATTCACAGCTTTGATTTCTCAGTAACAGTCTTTGCTTTTCTGGGACTGATTGCTCTGGCCTTTGACATGGAGCCGTTCTACTTCATTGTGGTGTTGAGACCTCTTCAGCTTCTCCGGTGTGTGAAGCTTTTTCTAAAAATAATTTTTATTGAACTTTTTTAGGAACATAACCAGTGAGAACAAAGTGGAAAACAAAATTGTGTGTGAAACTTTTTTGTGTTTAGATGTTTTGATGTCTTTTGATTAGGCATTCATTTGAAATTTTGTTTCTGGAATGTTTTATTTTTAAGACTGAATTAAAAATCTGATTCATTCAATAATGTAATAACATATATCAGGGTGTCTGCGGGGTCTTAAAACATCTTATATTTTAAAACCAACATTTTAGGCCATAAAAGATCTTTAATTTACTAAAATATTGTCTTGTTAAAATCACTTAAAAAGGACTTTTTTCCTATTTCCGTATAAAGCTTTACTCTATTCCTAATTCTATTTACCAATATGGTTTAATTATCTTTCTTACAGTAACAATAGAATTGCTTAAATGTTCTTCATGTATTTATAGACTGTACGTGGTGAGGACACTGGCCTGGAATTATAGTTTTTAAAGAGTTTTTTTTTTATGTAATGTAATATAATGTGTGTATTTTAAATGAAAATCGTGTATGGCCATATACCCAAAGTGTTTCACAATCATGGGGCAGGGCTGGAAGGGAGCGGGGGTTGTTGGTCCCCTTCACTAAACCTGAGCATTAGGACTCACACAGAACGCAGGTTGAGCACCCCCTGCTGGCTTTACTAAAACAACTTTCAACAGCAACCTTGTTTCCCGTGTGGTCTCCTCCTGTCGAGGTACTGACCAGGCTCAGCCCTGCTTAGCTTCAGTGAGTAACCGGTCCTGGGCAGTAGGATGATATGGCTGTGGCATTTAACATTAAAAAAATGTTAAAACAATGTTTTGCTTCTTACACCTTCTTTACATACCTGAAACTTGCCTACAGCACTTATTCATTGTTGCTCTTGTAGTTGTGTAAATTGCTTCCTTGTTCCCATTTGTAAGTCGCTTTGCAGAGTTTGCTTGTTTTAACTCTAACCCTAACATTTTTCAAAATATGCGGCAAAGAAATAACTAATAAACTAATAATTTTTTTTTTTTGATGTGGCAAGTTAGAATATTTTTCCGCTGGACAAACTGGGCCATCAGAAAAAAAATCATTAGTTATTAGTCCTGCATAAATATGAAATTTCATTCATAATGGTCTGAAATTTTGTCCTAAATTGTAGGTAAATTGGACTTGGTTAACCCTTTAGAAACCATCTTTATGTAATAAACATTCAGCTTAGAAAAAATATCAGCTTGTTTTAAAGTTGTAGTAAATTTCTACATTTTTGCATGTCATTTGTACCTAATATTGACCCATATTTTGTGAACCATGAATTATCTTTATCATAATTTTTCTATTTTAGCTGTAGATATAAACATAAATTATCTGAAGTTCATAATTTTTTTCATTTCTTATTAAGGTTATTTAAAATTAAACAGCGCTATCGGAATGTTCTGGACACAATGTTTGAACTGTTCCCGCGCATGGCCAGGTACAAAAATAATAATCAGTTTCAGCTCATTATTTACAGATGGAGGCCCTTGACTCAAAACACACTCTCTCTTTCTCTGTCTGTAGTCTAGGTCTGACTCTGATCATCTTCTATTACTCTTTTGCCATCGTCGGAATGGAGTTTTTTGCTGATGTTATTTATCCGAACTGCTGCGAGTAAGTTCATTTAACAACCATAATGGTTGAACTGACTGAAATGACTTTATACATTTTAGAAACTGAACATGGTTTACTCTGTTCACCCTGAAATGAAATCTTTCACACTCTAAATGATTTGTGTATGATGTCTTTTCAATAGCAATAGCACCGTCGCGGCCTCCTATCGGCAGATAAATGTCACCACTGGCAACCGGACCGAATTACAAGAGGGATATTACTATCTCAATAACTTCAATAACATCCTAAGCAGCTTTGGTATGTGCACACAGCCATACATACCCAATCTTTTAACATCAGTATATACTGTAGTGTTTTATTTTATTTGTAAAAGTTTTTCACATTTTATAGAACATACTGTAGACATTTTGTAGATGTTTTTTTCCCTCTGTCATGTTTCAGTAACTCTTTTTGAGCTGACAGTGGTGAACAACTGGTACATCACAATGGTGAGTGTTAACACACTTGTACATCAGTTCTGTCATCATATCATATCAGATTTTCCTCAGAAAAGTGTGTTTTTGTTTGTTTGTTGTTTTGGTTGGTGTGTGTTTATGTGGTGCCCCCTGCTGTTTATGACAAGGCATTTTAACATTAATGTATAAATTGCACATCTATTTTCATATTAGTCTTTCTTTTTAGATACTAGTATATTTTTTTAGATTCAAGTATCTATTCAAAACTTGTTGTGAGTAGTTAGATAAGAATTGTTGCTAGTAGTAATGACAAAGGCTTAGGTACTAGTACCTACTACATAATTCAAAGTATCTAATAAAAGGTTCTAGGAGTAACCAGTAAGTAATTGTATCTATTTAATAAGTTTGAGTGTCTAATTAATAATCCTAGTGTCTAACAAAGTAATTACTAGTAAATCCTTAAAAACAAATAGATAGATGAAGTAGTACATGAAAAAAAACAGATTGCATACTGTACATACTGGTCAAAACTGAAATCCAATAACAGATCCTTATAGAAGTCAATGGCAAAATATGTCAACTTGTTACTAGTAAAAGTATAATAGTGACTAGTATAAATTACCTCGAGTATTTAATGAATACGTACTATGATCTAATAAAAACACATAAAATAGTATCTGATGTATTTAATAACTTATTCTATTATTTAATAAGTACTAATGTTAAATAGGAAGTAGTGTCTAATGCAGTGATGCCCATGGGCCAAAGTTGGCCGTGGTAACCTTTCATTTGGCCCACCATCATTGTGAGAAGAGAGGAAGAATGATAGGGTTATATTCGAAAATGTCATTCAAATTTAATGAAACCCTTCGTTTGTTTTATTGTTAAAATCTAACTGAAATAACATGTTTCAATTAAATAGTGTAAATTAATCAGATTCAGTTTAACTGCTCATACTGTTACCCGACAATGCAGAGTGAGCAAATCAAGTCAAAAGCAGATTCTGCTTGACTAGAGTATTCAGCATTGAACTCCACTGTGTTATATACATGATTCTTTATGTTGTTATTGCAATAAGTTATAATTAAAAAAGTTACACTGCATAAGTTAATACTAATACATGATTTAAAGATAATGTTTTCTATGTATTTTAAAATATTAGGAAATAAATGAGGAAATTACCTATGGCAACTTTAATGTAATTTAGTTTGGCCCATGGATCGTAATAATATTTTTTAGCCCTTCATACAAAAAAGTTTTAGCACCCCTGATCTAATGAATAAATACAAGGGTTTAATGAATTAGTACTAGTATATTTAAAAAAGGGAATTAGCAAATGAATAATAAGCATTAGTATCTAAATAACAAAAATAGTAACTAATAAAAAATACTAGCTCTTAAAGGATAAATGGAAAATAAGTTAGTATTTAAAAATAAATACTATTAGAATGAAAATAATTAAATTATATGTTAAAACAACCTGCCATAGACCATTATGTATCTGTTACATTTATAAAGTGAGGTGTCACTGGCGTCTCTGAGTTTGTGCAGTGTGTATTTACAGCAGAAGCTCATTCATCATATTATATAGTGAGTAAATGATCGGCTGTCTGTAATTGATGTAAGTCAATGATGCCTTTGGTCTCTGTTTTTTTACAGGAAGGTGTGACATCACAAACTACTCACTGGAGCCGCCTTTATTTCATGACCTTCTACATCGTGACCATGGTAAGGCATGCAAATGCAAATCTGGCTTATTAGACCAATAAACAAAACTAAAACTAATAAAAGCACATTAATTATTCCCAATCAGTTATGAAATAAAATAGATGGAGAAACGTACAAGAAAGAAACTAACAGAAATCATTTTGAAAAAGGTGAAGGCCTAAAAGTAAAATAAAAGTAATTTTAAAAGCAAACTAAAATGAAAACTAAAAATGTATAATAAAGATGAATATAACAAATTACTAAAATTGTTGTATTATAAGTCAGGGGTTCCCAAACTTTTCAGCCCATGACCTCCAAAATAATTTTTGGTAAACAATGACTTGCAATCCCCATATTCTCTGATGGGTTTTAATAATATAAACCTTGCACACATTGCTGTGTCTTTAATACAATGTAATCACCCCAGAGGTTGCAAAAAAAAAAAAAAAAAATCGTCAGGCTTGCAAGTTGTTTTTTTAGGTTTATTATTTACATGTCAACAATGTTACTATTAACTACTATTTTGTTCGTCAGGAGATTATGGATAAAATATGGTCATTCTAATAGTTTAATAAAATGAATTTGGTTTTTGGAAATCGCCAAGCGACCCCCACTTTGGGAACCACTAATATAAGGAATGATGAAAGACACTTTAAAAAATAATATGGATATAATTAGTTTTTGACATTTAAGCTTTTAATTTGTGCTGCATACAGGAAAGTGTAAATGTTAAGGTTGATTACTCTGTTACAATTTCTATTTTCTAATGTATTTAAAGGTCTCATGAAGTGCTTTGAAATGTGCATTTTGTTTATACAATGTTTGACGTAATCTCAACTAAAACATGAAAAGAGGGTGTGGCAGATTGTAGCTCCTCCCCTTTAAAAAAAACAGCTAATAGCATTTCTGTTTTATCACAGCTCTGCCAGTGAAAGTGGTTAAGCTCAATCGCATCAAACGAGAAGCATTTTGAAGCGGGTGGGGCATTCCAGATACTAAAGAGCATTAGATTGGTCAAGATTTTATGTGAAACTAAAGTATTGCCTTTATCTTTTGCCTATGTGCGGACGCAGCCATTTGAATTTTTTTTGGCTCGAGACTTCCGGTTTTGTTCACTTCAATTCATTTTTAGACATTAAAAACAGCTCATTATGCTGCTTGATGTTGCAAACTGACATTTCCTTATTATATGATTCTGCTTAGTCATGCAAATACTTGTCTGTAGAGCAAGTAGTTTGATCGTTTTCTGTGGTTTACTGTTCCTAGTCAATTCTCTAACAGGCAACTGAATCAGAAGTTTTAAAACAATCGCAAAAACTAGCGCACTTCTGCATTGATGAATAACCTTTGGATGTTTATATCAGTTTTATATTTTCTAATCATGAATTTGTCACTGTTTTGGAGCACACTAGCTAACAGATATCCTTAAAACTAACAGACTGATACTAACATCTATTTTTTTTTTTTTAATTTCACGACCTTTAATCCTGTCTTCTTAATTTGTTTACTTAATCTCTCAAATAATATGAGAATAAAACATGTTTAATGCTCACACAATTCTAAAAATGTTTTTTGTGTCTGTGTGTGTGTGTGTGTTTCATAAATTAGATTTAATGGCCTTTTATATTTTCTCACAGCCTTGTGTTATTTTGATTGTAAATGCCTGTGTGATTGTGTGCCGCAGGTCGTCATGACTATAATCGTGGCCTTCATACTGGATGCATTTGTCTTTAGGATGAATTACAGCCGGAAGAACAGAGAGCCGCTGGATGACCCTGAAGGTTCTCAGTGTTTAGAGTTCTATTCCTCCGAGGACATGTTTAATAAAATCAGTGTGACTGGGACCTTTTTCACTGAGATATCTAACACTGAATCTTTGTGTGTATATGTTATAGATGAAAAGGGGATTGTGTTTGAGACTGAAGTGTCCCAGACTGAAGCTCTGCAGACTCTGGACTTTTATAAACACACACTGGGCGTCACCAACCTCACCTCTCTGCAGGACATGTGTGTGGCTCTGGAGCGAAGCGGGGTGAGCGCATGGACAGTCTGTGGTCTAAATGTCGTATTACTCTTTTCATGAGAGATTAAACTGTACTGGCTAATTTCTGTTTGATCACAGCAGACATCATTAGTGTTTCTGGGTCGAAGGTCACGTACCAAGAGTGACCTCAGTATGAAGATGTACGAAGAGGAGATTCAGGTATACTTATACCACACATGGATAGAAAGATTCTGCTGTTTCTAATTGATGGAAAAATACAAGTTTACATTTGTAAAATCATAAAAACTGATATGGTAGACAGAAACACTCATTCTTTTCATTTAGCTTAACATGATGTGCTAAAATAACTACAGCTAGTGTCAAAATGAGAACAACAAAAAAAAAAACATACTCACAGGCCACTTTATTAGGTACACTTGTCCAACTGCGCCGCTTCAGAGACGTTGCTCACTGTAGAAGTTGGGACTTGCTCAACTTTTCAAACGCCGTCGGAAGTGTCAGCCAATCAGATCGCTGTATGCAAATACACCAGCTCAGACAGTGGCCTATTGCTGACTAAATTAATTGGCTGATGCTGCTATGACGATTGAACTTCAGACACACCCTCTGTCAAGTGTTATCGCTGAAACCCCGTGTGAATGGGGCGTAATGGTGTGGGCCCATTAGTACCGTTTGAGCATTGTGTCAACGCCACAGCCTACCTGAGTTTTGTTGTTGACCATGTCCATCCCTTTATGACCACAGTGTACTCATCATCTGATGGCTAATTCCAGCAGGATAATATGCCATCTCATAAAGCGCGAATCATCTCAGACTGGTTTCTTGAATATGACAATGAGTTCACTGTACTCAACTGGCCTCCACAGTCATCAGAGCTCAATCCAATAGAGCACTTTTGGGATGTGGTGAATATGAGAGATATGAGAGATACCCATCATGGATTTGCAGCAGGCAAATCTGCAGCAACTGCGTGAGCTATCATGTCAATAGGGACCAAAATCTCAGAAATATTTTAGGTACCTTGTTGAATCTCTGTCATGAAGGGTTAAGGCAGTTCTGAAGAAAAAAAGAGGGTCCAACTCAGAACTAGTAAGGTGTACCTAATAAAATGGCCAGTGAGTGTATTTACTATATAAACACATTAGTACATTAAAACATATACAGAATATTTATTTAAAAATTACAAAACCAAAATACTTGAACCTTACTTTTTAAATAAAGGTACAAAAAAATAAATGGAAAATAAAATAGAAATAGGAAAAACATATCATATTTGCATAACTATGTTTGATCCATTTTATAAACATTTTGGTGGAAAACCTACATGAAAATTTTCATACAAATCTAATGACTTCTAATTATTTTATATGAAAAAAAGTGCATAGAAATAAGCTACAATGGAATTGACTTCTACAGTTGATGTGACTGAAAATTGGATTAAGCTGTGGACCAATTCTCAATGTAGATCCTTTTAAATTTGAGTCATTCTGAAACGCCAAAGTCTGTTTTGGTTAAATTACTTTCCAGACATTTCCCACAATATGGTGTTCCTAAACACCAGAGATTTGCCTCTAAACACAAGATAACATGATAGAGATAACATTAGTTATACGTGTCTTCTGCACAAACTGAGGAACAAGAAATAAAAGAAGCTACAGTGGTTTTCCTGATTACAGCAATGTTTTGTTGGTGATCATTTATGCCAGTTTAAACATAAAGTGATGTTTTTTTCTCTTTAACACGTATAGTAAAATTGAAACTGCTTTATTCAGATTATTAATGTGATATTTGATATAAATTAAACTCTTTGGATGAAACAGCTTATGAAACAGTTCTCTTATTAGATGAGAAATTTAAGTCAGGAACATGTGAAATGGTAATATATCACACTGCTGTTTATACAAGGATATGCCCGAGTGGAAAGTTGGAAAGTTTAGCGAAAGAAAAATAAATGCTACATAAAGTTATTTTAATGATATCATGTTCTGTTTTGCGAAATTATACTGTGATACATTTGGCAAAGAATGCCCTCCTTTATAACTCAAAAATGTTCAGATACACATTGGTATGTTTGTGTAAAGCAGTTGTTTCTTTTTGTCTGCAGGAATGGTACGAGGAATATTCCAGAACAAACCTTCAGACTGATGGGACCTTCCACAGAGAACTGGACAGCCCTGATGCTGGTGCCACAAACAGCATTAACTAACATATACACTGCATCAGCATAACTAACACATTCACTTGTACCTCTGAGGAACTTTAGGAACGTCTTCCTCTCAGCAACGGAAAGCACAGGTGTTCCCCATGACCACTACATTCTCTCCTTCCACAGACCTCCTTCACTTAAAGCCTTACTCCCCCACAAAAAAACCTTAAGGTTCCGCGGCCAATCAGGGAAGCTTGCAGATCAATCATTTGACATGCACTTGGTCCAGGAACCTTTTTTCTTCCATGAAATGCGCCTCATGACATTTGTCTTTTGACTCTTAAGGATTCAGACTCTCGTGGATTTTGCAGATGGAGCTCAGCGACTGAATGTTTCTGTGGGAGTTTATTTTTTCTCCGCAGTCTGAGGTATTGCTTAACCAACAGATTAAAGATTATAGTAATACACTAATGCTGTTTTTTTTTTTACTAAAGCTGCTTTTTGCTGGAACCTTTGGACCTTAGGCTTATTTCTTTCTATATATATATATATATATGCTGATTAAATATATGTCAGTTGCAGTTAGGAGTCAAGTCAAGTGTTTAAAAAGCTGCTTAAATATACATCCACTCACTCGATATGGGCTGGTTTCCCAGACATGTGTTCATTTTGGACAGAGAAGTGTTAGAAAACCAGCCCTGGACCTTTCAGTTAAGCCTCTGTCTTTTGTCATATATGAAAAGATCTCATTTCCTTGTTTGGAGTCAGTATTGTTTTAGTCACGTTCAGTAAAATCAGTCACATTTTATAGCGCTTAAAATCTGACCGACTCTGAAAGAGTTTTCAGAATAAATCTGTTATGTTTCCAGACCCAAATGTTTCTGACAAAGGGAAAACATTTGTTCTTGCTAATGGTTTTACACAGTTTCAGAACTGTCATTTATTTATTTACTTCATAAGTTAACCAGTTATTTTTCCCCTGACATCTCTCCTGTTTGTTTTTGCACTGTTTTACATTTTATTTGTTTTATTTTATGCTGTTTTAGAGAGGTGTATGCCGGAGAATTCCATTGTTTACTCCCATTTGGTTGTTTGATTGCACTATAGGTTGATGCCTGTGCATCCGTGATGCTCCAAACACATGATCCATTTGTGACGTCAAAGCACACCAGCTCCTCTAATAGAGCAGGATTTACCTGTGTCCAAGTTCTATGTTCTTGTTCCTTTGTAAATGTACAGTATAATAATAATAATAACAGTTTTAGTAAATGCTACATTTTAATTAACGCTGGCTTGGTTTTGTTTGTTAATTGTAATAGGAGTCATTTTATATGAACTTATGAGAAGGGCCAGACAGAATCTGCGGATGTTTTTTGCTATTTCTGCTGAGAATCTTGTTAAAAATCAGCAGAATAATTTTGGGAGTATCATAACTAAAATCTTAATGTGAAATAAAAAATAATATCTTTTTAACTTTTATTCATTGTTTAAAATACAAATCCAATTAGATTCACTTTATTTGGTAAACAAAACAAGTCTCTGATATAATATATCTACTAAAAGACAGACAATATTACTTTTCAAACTATATTGTGAATAAATCATGAATATTTTCATATTAGTCAATATGTATACTAAAATAAATGTAAAAACAGAATAACTATAAATTTACACACATTTACTCAAGTAAATAAACAGAATCAATGATGAGCTAAAAATCTGTGGAATTCTGTGCACGCAGATTCTGTGTGGGCCTACTTATGAGTCAGAAACTGCTACCATATCCCCACTTGATTTTAGTATTATAGACATTAGATATAATAGATTAGATTTTAGTTTATCTTTTTAAATTAATTGTTTTAGATGTGGGTGTCACGGTGGCCCAGTAGGTAGCACGTTCGCCTCACAGCAAGAAGGTCGCTGGTTTGAGCCTCGACTGGGTCAGTTGGCATTTCTGTGTGGAGTTTGCATGTGGAGTTTCCCTGTGTTTGGTGGGTTTCCCCCACAAGTCCAAAGATATGTGCTATGGGTGAATTGAATAAGCTTAATTGGCCCTAGTGTATGGGTGTATAGGTGTTTCCCAGTGATGGGTTGCAGCTGGAAGGGCACTTGATGTGTAAACCATTCGCTGGATAAATTGGCGGTTCATTCCGCGTTGGCGACCCCAGATTAATAAAGGGATTAAGTGAAAAGAAAATGAATTAATTAATGTTTTAGATGTCGTCATGTCATGTTAGAGGTCATGAGAACTTGAAGGTCTGTCATGTTAGAGGTCATGAGAACTTGAAGGTCTGGACTTGAAGGACATCACATTCATAGGTCGACAATATATAATTAGAAATTAAATGTTTGGGATGTGGAGAAACGGAAGATTCACTTTAAGCCCCTAAATTTGCAGCAACTGCTTGAAGATGTTGCTTGCTGCACCTTGATCTACTTCACAAAAGTAGATTTAAAAATATATATATATCAGACGTAACCATAGTTAAAAAACGAATACCATGGAAGTCAATGGTTACCTGTTTCCAGCATTTTACCAAATATCTTATTTAACAGAAAGAAGACATTCAAACAGATTTGGAAAAAGTGAAGGGTGAGTAAACGATGACAGTTTTGTTTGTTGGTGAACTATCCTTAATCTACAGTAGTCAACATTTGAAGTGGGTCAAAATATTGTTACAAAATGGTCCAAAAGGCAAGAATGGGTGTTCAATAGTTTAGGACAAATTTGATGAAATGTGATGAACCGCTTAAAATGTTGACTACTAACGTTAGTTCTCAAACGTATAAACATGCTAGTAAGGTGAATATCGCGCGAGATTGAAGTGGCAGTTATTCACATAATTTTATGTACAATTTCTAAATAACAAGACCAGACACTAGACGTTTTCTTCTTGCGTTAGCTTGTCTACAGACTGATTAAATTTGTTGATGTTTGTTTTATACAGGACAGCAGGGGGCAGTACAGAGTCAGGTCCACCATCACCACAGAGCTGAGCAGGGAACGTTTCTCCGTGTGAGGATCTTGTGTTTCGGTTGTCATCGCCTTTGAACCATTCTTCCTTTCTCGTTCTTCCAGTAAAGTAATGTGATACTTGTTTTTCAGGAAATTATTGTAACATGTCAGGTTCATGATGACGTCAGACATTAATTGGATGTTCTCAGTGAGCCTGTGTTTGTGCCCCCCTATTGTTCATAGCATACTGTACGTGCGTTCCCCATAAAGTGATACAAAATCAATATCAACCATAATTTTAGGCTACACCTTAAAGTCCTTGAATTGATAAATGTTTCGTTTTATAGATGTATCAATTACTGGAATGTAATGTATGGCGTGATAGAAACAAACCTTTATGTACTGTTGGGGATGTTTTCATCCACTCTGGGGTGATTTTATGTCTAAATTTTTCCATAACGTGATGTTTTTCAGCTAGCAAAATGGTTTTTTTTTATTTTTTTTTTTAAGATCAGTCTTATTTAGACACATATTTTAAGAATTACTTTTTTCTAAACTCAATGATACACTCTGGGCAAATTTACTACCCTTGTGTTGTGTTAGGGACGAAAACATCCACTGAATTAAACTGCTGTAAAAATGCATCTAATACATATTTTTTTCTTTTTTTGGGGTTACATAAATCTGTTAATTAACCACAGTATTGATCAAAACTGCTGAGCGAAGCAGTGGCGCAGTAAGTGGTGCTGTCGCCTCACAACAAGAAGATCGCTGGTTCGAACCTCGGCTCAGTTTCTGTGAGGAGTTTGCATGTTCTCCCTGCGTTCGCGTGGGTTTCCTCCGGGTGCTCCGGTTTCCCCCACGGTCCAAAGACATGCTGCAGGTGAATTGGGTAGGCTAAATTGTCCGTAGTGTATAAGTGTATGAGCGTGATGGGCCCAGACAGCAGGCCAGCCGGAATGTGTAAAAAAAAGTCGGCCAAAGAAGAAGAAGAAGAGAGAGATTGATCAAAATTACTACATGAACTCTTTTATTGCCATATTCATAAAAGTTACTGATTTGGCAAACAAAAAAGCACACAACATGACATATTTTCAATATAAAAAAGTAATTATGGACTGGATTAAAAAAAACTTTTATCTTGAACATGTTTCATGAAGTCTTGAACATGTGAAACACCATTACCTTTGAAGCATTTTTATTTATTTATTAATTTTCAATATTTTCTGTTGGCTGTTTTTGCTTCATCAACTTCCATTATAGCCACCTTTTTTTGATTACAAACCACGACACCATATAATCATTCATATTTGATTGTTGGTGGTTTTCCCTGCTGGGAAGAGGTCAAATTTGTAATTTTTTACTGTTGATCATCTGTTGGCACCATTATTCCTTTAGATAGGCCTGTGCAAAAAAAGCTTAGTTTCTGGATTTTATATGGAGTATAACAACAAATTAAAGTGTGTGTGTGTGAGAGTGACCTTTGCGCACTTACCTTGATGTGTCTGAGAAAATCAAAATATGCATCTCAGCTCTCAGAGCTACAGTACATGGAGTAAATACAAACAAAAACTGTGTATTTATGTACCATTAAATGTGCTTATAATGGAAGTCAATAGGGCAAAAACAGCACCAACAATAATCTAGGCAGAAAAAAATTAAAATCTAACAATGCATTAAAGCCATTGTTGTTATTAATCACTCACATCCAAGACTGTGATAAAAGGTTTAAAAAATCCAGTCCACAATTACTTTTTATATTGAAAATACATCATTTTGTGTGTGTTTTTTCCCCACCAAATCAGTGACATCATTTGTGAAATTGGCAATTAAAGAGTTAAAATCCTGTAAATTTGTTAACAATTTAATATATATATATATATATATATATATATATATATATATATATATATATTATATGATGCCATTTTACAGCAGTTAAATCAGGTGGATGTTTTCATCCCTAATATAACATAAGGGTAGTAAATTTGAACAGTGCACAAGGGTTAAATGACTAATGTACCATCTCTTATTGCAGTGGAGCAATCCAGGACATGACAAATGAGAAAAGGTAGACTACTAAACATTTAAACATAAATAAAACTAAACATAAATCTAAATCTTTAAACAAGATTTAAACAGTTACTAAGAAAGTTAATCGTTTTTATGTTAGGTGTCTGTGACAAAACGTGATTCATATGGAAATTGAAGTACTCTAGCCTCTTTGGCAAAGTAAACATCTCTGATTTGTTCATTTCTCAACAGACGATCAAATATGCCACAAAACTATTTAAATGTTTTCTTTTTTACTGAATTTATTACGTACAGACAATATAGAGGAGCATCCAGTCTGACCGATGGCCTGCCATCCTGAGGTAAGATTATAAACCAACTCTGAACAGGGCTAATCAGAAACGACTTATTAACTATGCATGTTTGTTCGACGTGGTTGTGTCAGATCAAATCAAATCACATATATCTGTCAAATTACCATACACAATTTTAATGATGTGAAGATTATGAGTGCTGTCACCACAACAGTTTGCTTTTGTTATTTGTTTTGGTGTACGAAAAAAACACATGCCGCCAAACACACGTTCTCACACAGTGAAGTCTATTATTAGCTTGTTTATGGTGATCCCTGAGCCTGGGATGGTGGTGTGTGACTCATTCTTTATGTACATTGAGACTGGTTCCTAATTTATCCCTTCAGACTCTCCCCCAAACCAGCATCCTGTCCCCTCTGTGACCCTTCCTCTTCCTCCCTTGCCTCTTCCTCTTCTGTCAGTCACTGGGGAGAGACTGAGACGCTGATGCTTTCTGACAGGGAACAGAATGTATTCAGGACTTTATGTCTGTCCTTTTTTTTTTGTGAACATGTTTGACAAAACGTGCCTGTTAGCAGGTTTATACTGTAGTGCCATATGACTACAACATGGTGATCCTATTAGTTATACTGTTCTCACGCACAGAGACGTTTCATTGTCCATCAGGGAGACGAAACACAGCTTGGGATTTTGAGTGGTTTGTTTTCCGGATGTAAAAATCACCCCTCGCCCCCCTAATTCCCCTCATTTGTCTTTGTTCATTACAAAGACATTTTTTTCTCACTCAAACTAATTTTTTTTCCAATTGTAGTGTAATATTTCAAAACATATTTAGATTTATTTTATTAGCTCACACAGTCATTTATTATAGGTTTATTGTTTGTTATGTTAAAGTGTAAACGGGTTTTAAAATGGTACACTTGTTCCTTGTCAGTGAGGAAAGTCCAAATCTTCTGTATTATTTGTGTGCATAACTTTTGACAGCCTGATTAAAGAAGTATTG